GGAGGAGGAACCCAGCCACCTTTCACCCGCTGTTTGAGGGGGGCCTGTGCCACACCTGCAGGGTAAGAGCGGCCAGCAGGGCTGCAGTCATCGGGTTGGGAATGGGATGGGGATGGTAGGGGAAACTGCCAGACCTGAACCTGCCATGCTCACCTCAGGGTCATCCCTTGGCATGGTCCCCTCTGAGTTCCCTGCATGCTGTGGGTGGTGCCCAGGAGGCACTGGTGATGCACATCTCTGAACTGTGGGCTGGGGGGGAGCTGAGTACAGATCCTGATGCTCTCTTCCCATCTGCCCTCTGCCAGGATAGATTCCTGGAGCTCTTCTACATGTATGACGAAGATGGCTACCAGTCCTACTGCACCGTGTGCTGCGAGGGCAAGGAGCTGCTCCTCTGCAGCAATGCCAGCTGCTGCAGGTGGGTCCCCTGTGCCTTGGTAGTCCCTGCAGAGCTTGGTGCTGGGCTGGGGGTCAGGGAGGGCACTACACTGGGGCAAAACAGAGCTGGCTGTACTTGGACAGGTCCTGGGGAGGGTGGTAGGAGATTTACCCAGGCCTAAGTCATCAGTCTGTGTCAGCAGCCCTAAATCCTGAGATGCTGTCAGTCAGGGAGAGCATCCTTCAAAATGGGACAGGGCTGTAGGAGAAGCTGGGCTGACACTCAGAGGTGCTGTGTCTGGGCAGGTGCTTCTGTGTGGAATGCCTGGAGGTCCTGGTGGGACGAGGCTCGTCAGCCAAGGCGAAAGAGCAGGAGCCTTGGAACTGTTACATGTGCCAACCCCAGAGGAGCTACGGGGTGCTGCAGCGCCGGCAGGACTGGAGCTCACGTCTGCAGGACTTCTTCACCAGTGACAAGGGGCAGGAATATGTAAGGGCTGAGGGCAGTGAGCCTGGTGCACAGGGTTAGGGGAGAGGGGTTAATGGTCCTGGCCCTGCCTCAATCTCATCTAGGCCATCCAGGTGTGCTGGGCTCATCCCCCCCATGGATGCTCCCTGCGAAGGGAACTGAACTTGGGGAGCGCTGCAGCACTGCCCTGAGCTGCGCAGGGCTCTGCTGCAAGGGGAAACAGGGTCTCACGGCTGTCTTCCATTACAGGATGCACCGAAAATCTACCCAGCGGTGCCACCAGCCAAGAGGAGACCCATCAGAGTGCTCTCTCTGTTTGATGGCATAGCAACAGGTGAGGTGCTGGAAGAAGGTGTTCTGATAGCTTCAAGCCTATCAGAAAGCTTGGGGAGAAGGGGATGGGGCAGGTGCATCCCCATCGATGGAAGCAGGGAGGAGAGCAGGGGGTGGGGATGGTGCCCACAGGCTGTGCTGGGTGCACTGGCTGCACTGTGGGCACTGTGGTCCCATTGCAAAGCCTTCAGCCCCCCCATCCCCGGGCAGGGTACCTGGTGCTGAAGGACCTGGGCATCCAAGTGGAGAAGTACATCGCCTCCGAGATCTGCGAGGACCCCCTGGCAGTGGGCACCGTGCGGCACGAGGGCAACATCACTTACGTGCACGACGTCAGGAACATCACCAAGAGAAATGTGAGCTGCGCTGCTCTTGGCTCAGGGAGGGTTGGCTAGGTGCTGTGCCCCGATAACCAGCTCTGTCTGCCCGCTGCAGATCGAGGAGTGGGGTCCCTTTGACCTGGTGATCGGCGGCAGCCCCTGTAACGACCTCTCGCTCGCCAGCCCGCCCAGGAAGGCTCCGTACGGTGAGGCTGTTTGGCCCCACGGGGCTGGGAGCCCCCAGGCTGCCTGGGGCCGGCGACGCAGTTGTGCGGTGGCTCCGTCCGGGGATGCGTGCCAAGCGCTGTCTCCCCCAGGCCCACCAGAGCCCGTCCCCACGCCTCAGCCAAACCTGCGGGGCCGCGGGCGGTCCCCTCCTAACACCCCTGCTGGGTCCCCCCGCACGGAGGGCACCGGGCGGCTCTTCTTCGAATTCTACCATCTGCTCAACTACGCCCGTCCCAAGGCTGGAGAGGAGCGGCCCTTCTTCTGGATGTTTGAGAACGTGGTGGCCATGAGGGTCAACGACAAGAGGGACATTTCTCGGTTCCTGGAGGTAGGGATCGCTGCGGCTTTGGGAAGGGCGCAGGAATGGGGCTCCCACACTTACCTGTGCAAGGCTGCTCCCAGCAAAAAAAAAAAGCCCTGATCCCTCTGCTAACTTGCTTTCCTTCTCTCGGGCTGCAGTGTAACCCTGTTATGATCGACGCTATCAAGATATCGGCTGCGCACAGAGCACGCTACTTCTGGGGCAACCTCCCAGGGATGAACAGGTAACGTTCAGCCATGGTTGCACTTTGTTTGTGGTACTTGCAAGGTCCTGTGCTGCTTGACCCTGCAGTGTTGCTGTCCCCACAGCTGCAGCCACTGTAGGGAAGTGCTGCTGCTGTGCACAGTGCTTGGATGTGTGCGGAGCTGAGCCCAGCTCGAGGCTCTATTCATGACTTATAGCAACCCCAAATTTGCTGCAAAGTGCAACAAGATGAGTAGAGCAGACTGCAATTGCTAGCAGTCCTGCACCCCACATGCACAAGGCTGAGTTTTTGCTTACTAAGGCCTCAGCCAGCAAACAGGCTCATTTTTTTTTTCACTTGTTTATATTTAAATTGCCAATATTTATGAGAGAATTGAAACTAATTAAAGCTGAGCCAGAGGCATGCAGGGATTTGAAAGTTAAACAGCAATTACTGAGCCATTGTCAGGCCGTGCCCTTGGAGATGTGGCAGTTGAACTCCCATCCAAGCAGTGGGAGCACCGGTGTTAGCCAGAGGATCCTGGGGCAGTGCTGGGAGGTCTCATGGTGCAGGGTCCGTGGGATCAAGGCTCCTCTGAAGGTGTTACCGGGAAAAATGGGCAGTGGTGACATGGGCTGACATTGAACAAATTGTGCAAGGTGCTCTGAGATGGGTGGGCAATAAGCACAAGCCAGGATTACTCTCTTATTTTTGACCTTAGTAAGGGAGCCTGGAGAAATGACTCCCTGCCTTCCCTTGGTTGTGGTGCCTGTCTGTGGTGCCACCAGGATCTGGTGGCTGTGGGGTGTGATGGCACTGAGGTCTGGTGGCACGTGTGGACGGTGAGGGGTGGCTGTGAAGCCGGGAGGCTGGATAGGAGCCATATGGGCACGGGGCAGCTGCTGAGCATCACCCATCCCTCTGCCCTCCAGGATCTTTGGCTTCCCCCTGCACTGCACCGACGTCTCCAACATCAGCCGCGGGGCTCGCCAGAAGCTGCTCGGAAGGTCCTGGAGCATCCCTGTCATCCAGCACCTCTTCTCCCCTCTCAAGGATTACTTTGCCTGCGAGTAGCCCACGCTGCATCCCTCGTCTCTCCGTCACAACGCAGCTCTGCTGCCCGAGGAGGGCTCAGCCCTGTGCTCACCATTCCCAGCACTGTGCCCCCCGCTGCCGCAGGGCTCGGGAAGCGCCTTCAACCAAAGAACCTGGCCAGGTGCCTTCCTGATGGGACTACAGACAGCACTGCCTGGGAAATGATGGACAAAACGAGCTTTAATCACCCAGCACAAAGCTGCGTGCATCACTGATGAGGCGAGAAGTCTCTTCCAGAGCATTGAATGTTCCACTTGAGCCCAGAGCTGGAAAGCAGTGAGTGGTGGAGGCAGCTGCTGGCGTGCTGCAAATGTGGATACAGAGCTGCTCACCTCCTAAACAAGCATAAACCTCTCTTGAAATGACTGCCAAAAATCCTCAAGCTGCAGCAGCAGGTGTGAGGGCCCCGGGTCAGGTTATGTACACTGAACATGCAGAACACGCAAACCAAATCTTTTTTTTTTTATTTTTATTTTTTAAGACCTTTTGTAAAACTTTACATTTTGTTGTTTAATGTCTATTGCTGCTTTAAGGCATTACATAAGAATGTGGAGACTCCTAGACCTGAATGTAGCTGAAACTGAACTGTGAGATGATAGAATTACTTTTCTAGTTAGGGAGATACTGTTTTATGCGTTCGGCTGTAGTTTACAGATATTCACTACGTCCTTTTCCAAGCATTTCCCTTTTTTTTTCCTGACGTTTCAAAATCCTGCTGAGTGGGTTGAATGGTTACATTGGGGCTGGAAAATCGGGCTGCAGTGACCGGAGGGGAAAATGTTCTGAGAATGAGTGCACGGGGTGGGCAGAGCGGGCAGTGTTACCACCCCCTGCTGTCACCCAGCAGCAGCCAAGGTCCATCCATGGGTGCCACCGGGGTGCCCATCCCTCTGCCACCCCATCCCATGAGTTTTGTTTCTTAAAGCCATGCGGGCTCCTCTCCGTCGCATCCTCCATTTCGTGTGCCGGATCTCGCATCCCTTCCTGTCTGATCAAAAGGAAAATAGAGAAAAAAAGGACTTGAGGAAAGCAAACAAAGATAAAAGGGGAACAAGAACGGTCCTGGCATTAAGCTGACTTGATGAGAATCGCAGTAGACAAGTCTTCCTTGGAACGCTGCCTTTTATGGTGTGCTCATAAACACGTTGCAAGGAGGTAGATCTCAGAAATGCCTTTTTAAATGCTTTGTAAAGGTTTCTAACTCTCCCTGGTGCTATTTTTTTAGTTAAAGGATTTTTGATGTCCAAAGTTTTGTGGGTTTTTATACAATCTTTTAAAATAAGAGGAAAAGAAAAAAAAACATATTGTTTTGTTGAATGTGTTTCATATGGTGTTCTGGTTTGTTTTTTTTGTACTGGGAACTCAAAACTGTGCGTTGGCCCAGCAGTTTACCGATTTTCATATGGGGAAAGGAAAGGGATCGATGATTTCGCGCTTGCCACGCAGCACCGCGGAATTAAAAGACTGAAAGCCGTGTTTCTGCGCCAGCGGGCGGCGCGCATTGCGCGCACCGCGTTCATTCATCGCCTTGCCCCGCCGGCACGCGGCATCCCGGCGAGCGCCAATGAATGGGCCGCGGAGTGGGCGGGGCTAGCAGAACCCACCAATCGCAAGCGAGCGCTCAGGAGTGGGCGGAGCCGCGCGATGGCCCCGCCCTCCACACCAGCACGCCGTTCTTCCTGCGTTGCGGCCGCCGTGACGTTGCGCGGGTGACGTGAGCGCGCCGCGTGCGCGTGACGTGGTCCCGGGCAGCGGGCGGGGCCGGTTTGAACGCGGAGGAGACGGGGCGAGTGCGGGGCAGGTAACGGGCCGGGAGGGGCCGGGCGGCCGGGGGGACGCGGGTCGGGGTAGCTGGGTGCGGGCGCGCGGGGCCGGCGGGCGCGGGGAGCTCGGGTGCGGCGTGCGGGGCTCGGCCTGGCTCCGGGCGCGCCCCTCCGCGGGGGCCGCGCGGCGGAGGAGGGAGGGGCGCGGGCCCTGCGCTGTGCTGCGGAGGCGTGCGGGCGGCCGTGCCCGCCGCGAGTGCTGCGGGGAGGCGTCGCTTTGTGGGGCTGGTTCGCCCCGCGGGGAGGGAAGATCCGAGCGGGTGGAGGGCCGGGAGGTGCTGGGGGGAGGGGGAGCAACGCTGCGTGCGGGGCTTCGAGCCGCGATGGGGCTGCGGCGTGAGCGGGTGCGGCGGTCCCACCCGCTGCTCTGTCTGGCAGAAAATGGCTGTGAATGTGTACTCCACGTCGGTGACGAGCGACAACCTGAGCCGGCACGACATGCTGGCGTGGATCAACGAATCCTTGCAGCTGACGCTGACCAAGATCGAGCAGCTGTGCTCAGGTGAGGGGTGCGGGGAGGGACGTCCGGGTTTGGTTTGGAGGTGAGAGATGGCGAAGAGGTCCGTGGAAGCAGCCGTGTGGCTGTGTCGGTAGTGGGAGCGGAGCTGTGGGCGGTGCTGGGCCTGCGTTTGGTGTTACAATGGTTTGGAGTTGTACTGAAATGGTTTTTAATAGTGAAAATGTGATGGGAACGTAATGGGAAGTTATGATCTTCTGATCTGCTACCGCAAAAGTGGGATGAGAAGAAATTAGGGTCAGTGTGGAGAAAAATGCTCCTAAGAGAGGCTGTTTACTAGTGGGGAGCCCAAGTATTTAGCCTGAACAGACAGGAGAAGTCCTGAGAGTGCAGTAAGGAGCATAAACGGATGTGATCCCTTATGGGGGAAGACCATTGGGAAGTGCCTGCGGGTTCAGACAGGGCACAGGGGTGTGAGGGAACACACTGGTGGGTCTGGGTTCACCCCTGGGAATTCCCACCCTCCCCCTGTAGTGAAGGAGCACCTCAGCCTGACCCGGAGTCACTGTGAGCTGATCTGCCCGAGCTGAATATCTGATGGTTGTGTGCAGCGAAAGGGGAAGTGCTGGTGCTCCAGAAGTGAAGTCACATGTCATCGTGCAGGGAGGAGTGTGGGGGAGGAGGCTGGGTGAAAGGAAGAGAGCAATAATGGGCTGTGGGGCAACGCGGAAAGAAAAGCAAACCCAAGGCTAAGAAGGCAGCCTGGGTGAGAGGTGGTGATTTGAATAACTGCAGCAGGGAGATGAAAGGGCCCGGGTAGGAGAGGTAGGAGCACATCTCACACGGTGAGGTTAGAATAAGGCGGTTGGGGGCTGAACAAAAGGAGGCAGAAGTTTACGTTGGGAGTTGGCACTGCAGCGTGGGGCTGAGGAAGGAGCATTCCCAAAGATGGAGAGAAGGAGGGAACTCAGAATACACGTTGGGCAGGTATTTCTGGTGGCTTCTGTCTAATAAGGTGATGCAGGAAAAACTCTAGGGCTGAAGGAAACTGAAGATCTGCAGCCACAGAGAGGAGAAGCGATGAGCACTGCTGGGCTGAACTCAGTGTGCTCCACCTCAGTCTGGGGCCCAGAAGCTTTGCAGGGAGCTGGGCTGGCTCAGGGCAATGCAGTGCACTGCTTCTTGGCCTCGTGCCCCTTAGACGTTTGCCATGCAGCTATTTGTTTTATGTTAAGGCTCCCCTTGCTCTCCGTGTCCTCTGAAGTGTTTGATGTGGGGTGAGATGTTGCGCTCAGAATGTTGTGCTTGTGTTGCTGATGACACACAAGTGTGCATCATCACTGCAGCGTAATTAACACAGTTTTAAGCTGTCTTTATGGGGGGGGTGTTGTGCAAAAGCTCATCATTGGGGGTGGCTCTCTGTTTGAACCGCACCCCCCCCCTCCTGCTATTACAGTGAGAGCTGAATTGATGGACTTGAAGGATTTAAAATGAACAGGAAGGAAATAGTGTCTTATTTCAGTTCTCTGATTAAAGTGTGTCTTAAATACCATAGAATGGTTTGAGTTGGAAGGGACCCGTTCAAGTCTCCTCCAACCTCTGCAGTGAGCAGGGGCACCCACAGCTCCATCAGTGCTCACAGCCCCCCAGCCTGACCCGAGTGCCTGCAGGGATGGGGCACCCACCTCATCTCTGTGCCACTGCCTCACTACCCTCACTGTAAAAACCTTCTTTATATCCCATCTAAACCTCCCCTCCTTTATCTCGATACCATTCCCATTGTCCTGTCACACAGACCCTGCTAAAGAGTCTCTCCCCTCCTTTCTTACAGCCCCTTCAGATGCTGAAAGGAAATGTGATTCAACTTACTTTACTCTCTTACTTCTGAGAGCACCTTGAACTTTGTAGGTAGTATATGACACTATTTTAAAAACAACTAAACGTAATTTTTAGAAGAATACTTCTTCCAGTTCAGCTCTGTTAATGTTGATAAGAGTTCTGATGCCCATGAGGGATGGGACGCCACATTGAGTTGGATTTTCCCTCTTGGAATTACAGAGGTGTTACTGCTCTTGGGTACAAGAGCTCAAGCCATGGGGCCATACCCTTAGTTCTGCAGCTTGTTTACAGCCACGCTTCCAAATCAGGCCAAGGGGTCCTGTTATGTCCTTTCTGCTCCTCTAAGGGCTTTGTGCACTGTGGAATGAGGCTGGGCAGTGTGCTGCTCTGGCTGATTGTCTGTTGTTCATTGTGGAATGCTATTCTTCTCTCTCACAGGTGCTGCTTACTGCCAGTTCATGGACATGCTCTTCCCAGGTTCAGTAGCTCTCAAGAAGGTGAAGTTTCAAGCAAAATTGGAACACGAGTACATTCAGAACTTCAAGGTTCTACAAGCAGGTTTCAAACGAATGGGCGTTGACAAAGTAAGTTGGGTTGGAGTTGCTTCTCCTTGTTCCTGGGATCCAAGCGGGTGGCTTGCACTTTGCAATCTGGGGGGCAGGGTTTGTCAGCTTACAAATCTCACAAGTTTTGGTTCACACCTAAATTAATGCAATATTTACTAGAGCAAAGGTTGCGTTTGCAGTCTTTAATGCTGGAGATAGTTTCTTCCATGTTAACTCAATTCAATTTATGTAGTGTTGACCAGTACTGAAACCTGAGAAATCATGTTTGAGCTTATGTGGCGTGAAGCTGTTCCTAGCAGTGTGTCCCAATAATCTGTTGGTGTGCTGGTCTTAAGGATTTCCCATTCCTCTTTACCAGTGTGTTGTTCCACTGGTGAAAATGGGATCTTTGGAAATACGTGTTTGGATCAAGTGAGTGCTGTGCTTATGGAAGAGTGCTTTATGGAGGTGGAAGTTATTGGTGGGGTGCTTGGTGCAGTGCAGAGCATTCCCTTGCTAAAGCTGCTCCCAATGAAGAGGGCATCTCGTGCTGTGATGGCCAGCAGCTCCAACACTGCTTCTCTCCTCTCCCTTGGGGCTGTACCTGGAGCAGTGTGCCCACAGCAGGGCTGTGCTCACAGGGAATCAAATGGGCAATCAAGGGAATGCCTTCTGCCCACTGCCAGACCTCAGGCTCTCAACTCGTGGCTTAAAGGCAAGACTTCACAATTTACTGCTTTTTCTCCAAAATAAACAAAGAATTGCATTTGCTTCCAATTTAAAAACCCTTATTATGTAAGGCAGAGAGGTTCTTTCCCCTTACAACACGTTTTATTATTTATTGCTATTTTTTTTTTCCTCCAGATAATTCCTGTGGACAAACTAGTGAAAGGAAAATTTCAGGACAACTTTGAATTTGTTCAGTGGTTCAAAAAATTTTTTGATGCAAACTATGATGGGAAGGAATACGACCCCGTGGCTGCCCGACAAGGCCAGGAGACAATGGCACCAAACCTCGTTGCTCCAGTGGTGAACAAACCCAAGAAACCTCTCGGTACTGGCAGTGCAGGTAGAAACGAGTTCAAGATGATCTCGAGCCCTTAAAAACTGAGGGAAATGAGGCTGGGTCACTGTTTCAGTATCTAAAGGGGCTGTAAGAAAGAAGGGAACGGACTGTTAAGCAGGGTCTGTGTGACAGGACAAGAGGAGATGGCTTCAAGCTGAAGAAGAGGAGGTTTAGATAGGATATAAGGGAGAAGGTTTTGACAATACACGTGGTGAGGCAGTGGCACAGAGATGAGGTGGGTGCCCATCCTTGCAGGCACTCAGGTCAGGCTGGGGGCTGTGAGCACTGATGGAGCTGTGGGTGTCCATGCAGAGGAGCTGCACCTGTGGGTGCACTGCAGGAGGTTGGGCCTGATGGCCTTTAAGGATCCCTTTCGACTCAAGCCATTCCATGGTTTAAAATTGGTGTCTGAAGATGTCGTGTCTCATCTCAAATGCTGGGCTTCAGTCTCTGAGTGAGTTATCTGGGAGTGACAGAAAGAGAATGGCAAGGGTTGGTGTCAGGGTGTGCTGAAGGCAGTGGATGTGGCGGGGGGAGGGGGGTGGGGTGAAGAAGGAACACTTCATTGATGTACGTGCCTTCAAATTGTGACATGCCTGGAAGGGGGACCCCACCCCTGGGGGAGGAGGAGGGGTGTTCTGAGAAGAAGTAACAGCACATTTATCTTGCAGCCCCACAGAGGCCCATTGTTGCACAGAGGACCCCAGCAACTCCCAAAGGCAGCACTGGGATGGTCAAAAAGGCTGCGGGAGATGATGAATCAGCGGGATTGATTGAGCAGGTGTGTTGCCAGAATGGCCTGAGGTACTGACCTGGGCTTGCTGTTGGATGTATAGGTATAGATATTTAATAGCATGAAATGGCTGTGCTGGGGAGAGACAGATAGCTTTCTTCTGTCTAGTAGGTTCATTTAAAGTGGCTTAATCAGAAGCCTTTGGTGTGCTGGCCTTGCTTTCCTGATAGCAGTAAAGCCCTTTTTGCAGTACAAGCCCCCAGACATTTAAATCTGCTGTGTCCCATATCGCACATAGCTTTGCTTTCAAGTATTTCCACAGCTGTGTTGCAGCTATCACAGCATTCCAATGGAGCTATGAGCAGCTGCTGCGTCCCCGAAATGCTGAATGCAATGGAGCTGAAGCTGCCACCAGTGAGGGCTGTCCTGGAGGAATGTGTGAGCAGAAGAAGCTGCAGGCAGTTGGATTTTTACCCATGTCATGCAATAAGCCTTTAGAATTTCCATGTGGCATTGCATGTGTTGGGCTGGGTGTTGGCTGTAGAAATACTCCAACTTGAGAAACAGAACCTCCTCTTGCCCTCACAGCCTTTCCCTGATGTCTTGGTTACTTCTGAAATGCTTTGCTTACAAACACACCTCTGAGCATCTTGGGGGACCCCCACCTTAAGGGTAGATGCCACTGGTGGGTAAATCATTGATTCTTGTGGGCAGATCAACGTGTTGAAGCTTACTGTTGAAGACCTGGAGAAGGAGAGGGATTTCTACTTCGGCAAATTGCGGAACATTGAGCTGATCTGCCAGGAGAACGAAGGCGAGAACGACCCAGTGCTGCAGAGGATTGTGGAAATTCTTTATGCCACAGATGTAAGTCATCCTCCCCCCCTGTCCTGCCTCACTATGGGAAGCTGTCTTGTTTCTTCTGCTTGCTTTCTTCCTTTTTTGTGTCCCCTTTAAATTTACGTTGTTATGGTCAGGCCACAAGCGTGGCTGGGCTCACCTGAGGAGTTGTGTAACACAGAGGTCAAAGCTGAAGAAAGTGAGTTTGCTGGGGACACTGTGAGTGGTTGACTGAAGGGTGCTTCGTTGTCAGGATCCAAAGTAGGAATAACTAAAATGCAAGGAGCGTGCAGAGAGCTGGGAAGTGCTCGGGTGTTGGCTTCTCATCCAGCCTCGTTGTGTTCCCTGCAGGAAGGCTTTGTGATACCTGACGAAGGAGCGCCGCAGGAGGAGCAAGAAGAGTATTAACAGACCACACACTGTACCAGCAGAGCAGCAACATCGGAATTCTGTGCCCCAGATCATGTGCTTAACTGTAAAATACTCCACTTTATTCTTAGAGGACTCACTGGTTTCTTTTCATAAGCAAAAAAAGTTACCTCTTCTTAAAGTGCACTTTGCGGAAGTTTCACTCTTTTTGCAGTGGGTTTGAGTTAGAAACTCTCTCACTCTGTAGCAGAGCAGTATTCACATCTAGGTGGTATATTTAGGGAGCAAGAGGCTGAACGTTTGGAACTTGTTGGTTTGCTGGTAAACACTGGTTCGTGGAAAGACTTTTTTTGTACCTGAGGTGGTGTGTAGTAGAGAACGTAAAGACTGACTCATGGAAAGATGGAGTTCATGTGAAATTGCAGCACGGAAATGATAATAAAATGCCTTAAGAGTATTTAAAATATGCTTCCAAATGCCAAAATTGAAGTAATGTGACAGGAGATTTTATGTGCTTCATCCTGGGGAGACGCTCCGCTCCCCTCCCTGCTGTCCGAGGGGCTCTTAAACAAACCTCCATTCCTGCATAAAGCTGCTTACCGAGTGATTAGTTCTCAATGAAATAGGCCTTAATGTTGCCTGTCACAAGATTAGAGGGAGTATGAACAGCTGAGACACATAAATTACCTTGAGGACTGCTAAAGCATTTTTTTACTATGGCATTGTGGCTGATGGCTTTGCCAAAACGTACTGTGTTTTCTGTATTAAAGAAAAAAAAAAGCTCCATAAATGAAAGCAGAGGGCACCAGTCTTACTGCCTACAAGGTTCTTCTGAAGTACTTTCCTCCTTTCTGCTTGTTCTGTTTGTTTCTGTTGGTTTGCTTATGGCCTCGCACCCTTCCCTTCCCATCCCAAGGTGCTCTGGTCCAACCCCGTGGTTGCAGCAGGGTTGGGCTGTGTGCAGCTCATAGAATGAAAGTGAATTGAGCACATGAGGATGATGATTTTCTCTTTTCTTTTCTGTTTTTTTCTCAGACCAGGGCTTATCTAATAGTAACACTTGCCAGTTCAGTGGTCTTCTGGGGTCAAAACTAAGAGATGCTGGCTAACAGAGCTAATGTTATTGCAGAAAATACAGTACTGAGACTAACTTAAATATTAATATTTAAAGTACTTTCTTTAATTGTCCCTTTTTTTTTTTTTTTTTTTTTTTTTTTTTGCTCTCATGCCCCCTCATTACTGTTGTGTTTTTGGCAAGATCCTGCAAGACTTCTGATTCCCCTCCACTACTGAGATCCATCAGTCCTGTTGTGCTGTATTCATTCGTTCCTGGTGGTAGCTTGTCCTAAAACGTGTGTAGGAGAGCATCTTATGGTAATTGTTGTGTAGTGCATGAATCTTTGTGAAATTCAGAGAAAAACCCAAATTCAGTGAATGCCAAAAAAATGCAAGTATCCAGCCATTGTTTGAAATTGCAGTGGTGCTATTTCTCTTGTGGCCTTTTAGACTTTCGTTGCCCTAAAACTCCATTTTACTGAGAAAACCATATTTGACTTGGATTTTTCTTGACAGGGTTTTTCTATTTTAAGCAGTTTCTAAATAAAGTTCTGTATTTCAAGAGTGTCATGTCTGCTGGAGTGTCTCGTGCTTTCAGATGTGGTCAGGCAGCCCTAGAGCTCGCAGTGCTTCTCATGGTTGGAGCATTGAGGCCCTGCAGTGTCAGCTCTCACCCTCCAACCCTAGCTGTGTGTCCCTGTGGGTAGCAGGAATGCTGAAGCTTCCCTTGGAGTGTGCTGGGGGAAGCATTGCTGCAGTTCATCCCCACCACTGAGATGTTGTCCTCCTGCAGTGCTCTGTGGGTGCTTTGTTCTGTAGGGTGGACATCGCTGGTGCTGGAGCTGGGGTTGCACTGCAGGAGTGCAGATGTGGAACCCGGGGGCTTTTGATGCACATAAAATCTTCTTGACCATTACTTGGTTACTTGGAGCTCAGAATCACGCTTCCACCGACTTGAAATGCTGCGTTATTCCACCGGTGATGTGCTGGGATGTGGGGCTGCCTGAGGTCTGTGCGGTGAGGATGAGGTTTGTGTGGGACTGCGGGGCACCCAGGTCAACCCGTGGGCTGCGTGGGGTTGGTTCTGAGCTCTGCTACTAAAAGCCAGCCAATGCTGGGAGTCAGAAAGCTGTGCTTTGTGAGACTGGACGCACAGTCCTACCCGATGTGCATTGGAACTCAACTGAAACTGCAGTCTTCTAAGTCAAATGCTGCTAAGATTTCCAGTTCCTTACATCATTTCTGTGCCCCCAGGGTGGGGGGCAGCCACGTGGTCAGCTTAAATGACCACATCATAGGTAATGTTGGTACAAGCTGTTGCAGGTGTCCTTTTTGGGAAGCAAATGACAATAAGCCCAGCTCAAACCCACAGACCTGACACAGCTACTCTGCTATGTGGTACAGTATGTGCTGTTAATCTGTTGTACTGCTCACCTATGGAGCAGCCCAGCCTTCCTTAGTGTCTTAGTTTTGTCAGATATTTGAAATACAGGCGGAATGGAAGAACCAAAAGCTCAGTCTCCATTCTGCCTGACTTGGGCTCGTGGATGTTTTCTAACTTTTATTGTTCAATTTTTTTCAGAATTCCTGGTTTGCAATGACAATTCTTACTGTAACTGTTGAAAGCCTTCAAATAAAGGCCAAAAACTTGCTGATGTTGTATCATATCGGTATTTTGTGGGGCTGCTTGAGATATGAGACAAATCTGGTGACCATCTTTCTTCATTTGTGTACCAGCACGAGGAATAATAGCGTGGGCTTATAGCACTGCTGGGATAACTCCAATGTGCAGAACATAAAACCAAGGATAGAGGCTGCTTGGTAAAGGTTGGACCAGAAATCTTCGTGCTTGGCTGTTAGATGAGGTTTATCTCATAATGAAAGTTGGGAAGGGGAAAGCACATAGCTGGCCTAAGATCTGGGAGGATGGGTGTACTTACATCCTCATTAAGACAACCTCTGTCTTCCAATCACAGCATTGTAGGGGTTGGGAGGGAACTTCATAGAGTCCAACCCCATGCAAATGTTTGTCTTTCCTCTGTAATAGAGAAGAAAGGAACAAAGTTCAACTTCAGCTTTGGTGTTTTCTGAGATCAGAGTTGAAGGCAGTTTCAGCTTTGGTGGCACAAGGGCTGATTTCTCTAAGATCAGCTCTTCCCTCAGCACAGCTGACTGGCTTGCTGAACCGTGGTCTTCATGTATGTACACTTATAATTGCATTTATTTATACAAATGCATAATATAGAGAATACAGTTTCATCTTCCAGGACCTCGTTCAAGTCTACAGGGCCAGGATAAGAGCATCCCAGCGTGCAGAACAGGCTGAGCTGCTCTCCGTGTCTGAAGAATGGTGACTGTCAGGTGAAGTTCTCAAGGCCTGGATTTGGATGGGCAAAGTGCAACAGCTACAGCAGGGACAGATGCTTTGGTATGTGTGCTCACTGCTTTGGGTGTCTGTGTCTTGGAGATGCACCTTCAGACACTTCATGTGCCACAGCAACGACACTCAGGCTCAAGGTGTAACAGCAGAGCAGTGGCTGCAACCTGCAGCTCCATTCCAACTGCCTCGGTGAAGCTTTGCTTAGCAAAGGGCATTCACAGCACGACTTCAAAGTTGCACAGGGGTTCCGAGTGCAAAATCACTGCATGCATGCCTGCTGCTTTCCATCTGGCACGTGTGAGCAGCCCGTTGCTGGGCATTGCTTTTGCAGCGCTTGGTTTTGCAGGTTTGGATGCAAATAGTTCTGCATGGCAACGGATAAAAGTTACAGATAAGATTAATGATAAGGACTTTGGTGTGTTCCTGCTGCTGACTGCGATGTTTCATAGCTCAGGTAATGTCACTGTCCTCTGGTGAAGGATGAGGGCATCCTCCTGGCTGGCATTGGCTTAATGAAGCACTTCCTAATTTTGGAACGGTGTCCCTTATAAAATGTGCTGATAAATGCCTCCTTTAAGTGGGTTCTTTTTTGGGATTTGGGTTGGTGTGGCTGTTCTCCTTCATGGCTCTGTGTTAATGCAGATGGAACGGCTCGATCAGGAAGATTGAAGAATGGAGGTGGCTCTCACCTGGAGAAGGCTGTGGTGAATTTGGAGAGGGGGAGTTATGGCACATTCACAGGGGGAAAGGACTCAAACTGATTGGGCTGAACCTCGTGTATTCATAGGGGCAGCCTTTCAAGCCAGCTTTCCTAAACCAAGCATAAGGTAATGAATGAGGGCTGGGTGCTGGAGAGCTGCAGTCAGACCGCAGTGTAATCGGGGAGCTTCAGGCTTACTCTCTTCATAGGTTCTCTTGTGCTTCTTGGTTTTCTCTTGGCATGGAATTCCTGGACATCAGTGGGATCTTTTGCCTGCCCAGAGGGGACAGAGATGCTGTGGCCTTGGATTATGGGATGCAGGTGGAGTCACAGGAGATGGGGTGGAACGACTGACGTACAGTGTGAACCTGGGACCTGCTGGGAGAGGTCCTGCAGGAAAAGCACTGCTCACAGAGCCAGGTGCATCCCCTGAGCTGCAAACCAATGCTCTGCTCCTGGAGGCGACGCTGTGGGTGCAGCACTGAGCACCATCAGTGCATTACTGTCCTTGAGGTCTTCATGCAGTGCCTTCTCTGGGTGTTTGTGCCATGCACAGCCTGGCTGAGGCACCCCTCAGGAGCTGTGTGCTCAGCAGTGATGGCCTCGGAGCCTTTCCTGTAAGGCAGTGCAGTATTTTTATTGCTTGTAAGCCACTAGCATAATATAAATATTAATACTCCCTTAGTCCCTCCTGTTTCTACTCGTTCTCAGTATTTAAATCCACTTTCTATATTCTAATGGGCTCTTTCTTTTTTGTGAAGCAGCATGCTGGGCTAGGTGGACGTCCCATCTATTCCCCTACAAGCAGAGCATTTGCTGTGAAACATGGAGGCTCAAACCCTGGTGCCATGAGGTGAAATCTTTCTTCTCTTCCAGATGCTCCTGGGGAACTGGTGCCACCAGATAAAGCTCATTCCTGAGCTCAAGCTTGTTGCCTCCTGCTCAGCAACTGATAAGGGAGCAGCGATGCTTGCTTGGCCATGAAATAACACAGGGGAACTCCAGTAAGACAGGTCTCAGCCTCTGTTCTGTAATGTATCTGTTGCACAATGGTACCGGGTGATGCTGCTGGCATCTTAACGTTGCCTTCCCTCCAGGTAAAACCCACCCCTACCAAACTTTTTTGGGCTGTGGGAAATGCGAATTAGAGAGAAAATGTGGAAGAGGCTCAGTTTTGTTTGCGCTGTGCTGCGAGTAAATGAAGCTTTTGAAAGCTCCTGCAGGAGGAGAATGAAGGGGTGCAGGATCAGCTCCTATTACATCTGGGGGCATCCCCTGGCTGGGGCAGGCTGTGGGTCAGGGGAGCTCAGAGCTGATGGCTGTGCTGTGCTCACCCCTAGGATGCTCGAGGGCTCCTTGCTGCCTGCACGAACTGGGCATCCTCCTTGGTCTCACCTCCCTCCATTGCTCAGTTTGGCTTTCAGTCCTGTTTCTGTGCCTTTTCCTGTACGTATTACACAAGTTTCATTCCCACCATTTGAATTTGTCTTTTCCTTTTCTTACCATCACTCCCATGGCTGTTTTTGTATGCTTCTCCTTCCTGTCTCATTTGTTTTCTCCCCACTTTTCCCCTCCTAAGGTTCCACGTGCTTGCTTTTCCCTTTCTCCAAAGCGCTCCAAAAGTAATGCCTCCTATTTTATGGTGTTGCCCCATGATGTCAGAGGCGGATGTTGGTGGGATGTGGAAGTAGAGGCTGTACTTTCTGTGTATCCGAATACTCAATTCCACGTTGTTGCCATGGCAGAGGGATGGCAGATGGATGGCAGCAGAGGGGCAGTCTGCGGAATGGCATCTGAGGTGGAAGTGAGGATGGAGCAAAGGTGTTACACTGAACGCCTCCATGCAGAAAAAAAGACACCTGCTGACATTCACTGATGTTTGGTGAATGCTGACGGAGCACAGTGAGGTGGTAGGTGATGCGCTGCAGAGTGGAATGGTTTGCAAGCTCTTCATCGCTGCCTAAAAGGCACAGCTCATGGTGGTGACCGTAAAAGAACGGTGTCATGTGGCTGAGAATCTGCTCTATCGAAAAGCATCGCCGTGCTCTTTGTAGTTTCCGTGGAAACAAGCAGGAGGCATTACTTTCGGAACAAGGGTTCCGAGGCAGTCCCTCCTCGGGCCGCGCGGTTCCGGAGCGGAGCGCCACCAGGGGGCGCTGTTGGGCCGCGATTCACACGGGCGGCGCCGTCCCTGCGCGGTGATCCCGTTTCGTTTTGCCGCTCGCTCTTCGCCCTCCAAGCGGCTTTTGCCACTTCTGTCCCGCTCCCCAAATATTCCCCCATACAGGCAGCTTTCGTTCGTTTCTCCCTTTGCCTCTTTTTCCTCTGCTTTTTTTTCCGTTATCCCTGATTTTCTCTCACTTTTGCCTCGGGACCCCCTCTGCTCATAGCCCTCTCCTCCTCCTCGCTGACCCTTTCACACACATCTGCCCTCCACAGCCACTGCTGAGCTCCGTGCTGTGCTGCAGGGGACCCACAGTCATCTCCACGCATAGCCGTCCACCTCTGCTCACATCCCACCAGCGATTGCTTTGAGAGAGAGGCATCGTCTGTTTTAATGGCTCCCTGGAGACGGCTGCTGTAGGCAAAGTGCCATGAAGGTGTTTTCTTTTTCTGTGGTTGAGACGATGCACGCTTATCATGGCTGTTATTTCTGATGCTGCTTCGTTAGCAGCGCAGAGATTCGTGTCTTAATCAGCTGCTCTGCGCTGATGGCAGCAGGGAACTGCAATGGTTCTGTAGGAGCTGCTGAGCAGGAGGCCCTACAAACTGAATTTCAGAGCTCGCCTGCCACCTTCACAACAACTCAGCAGCATCATGCAGTTGGGATTTTCCTGCTGCCCTGCTTTTTTTTTTTCCTCTGCCTGACTTTAGTTGTGTGTTCACACAATTTTGCCACCCTGCGCGTGACGGAGCGCTTTGTCTGTTGGTAGGAATGTGCTGATGGACGGCTCTGTCTGTGCTGTTTGTTACAGCACGGCAACTTCTGCGCATGCATCGCCTTCCGGGGCAAGCAGTGTTGGTGGGAGATGGGTGATCCTGGCGGGGAGATGAGCACTGATGAAGTATTTCAATATCTGCTGAGATCTAATGACTTCCTCGTTACTATCACAGCACTGCAGGTGCCCTTAATGCATTGTTTCTCCTTTAGCATGGTCACAGAGCCTCCAGTTTCAGTTTAGAGATCTCCTAAACTCGGTTATCATGCTGTCTCTGATTGCTATCGCCTTCTGCTTCTGCTGCGAGCTAGCAATGAGTTTGTTCTTGTTTGCACAGCTGCGTAAGGAAGAGCTCTGGATTTTCTTGCTGGAAAGTACTGGTGCATGCCTGATGTGACCCCAGGGCTGTGGGTGCTGGCTGTGCCCTCGGCAGAGCATCCTTTGGGTGATCTTTAAGGTCTCCCCAACCACAGCTGTGATGTGACGGCTCCCAGTGCCTGTGGCAGCTGATGCTGCTGTGCTCCTGGTGCTTATTGTTGGAGCCAGCAGACAGCATTCAGTGCCCTGTGACGTAAGGACAGCCGGGAGCATCAATGGAGGCTTTCACAGGACGTGACTCACCGCCCATGGAGGAGCCAGGAGGGATCCATGAGAAGCGTGCAAAAGGAACAAAAAGGTTTTGTGCAAGCTCTGAGCCAGGCTGATGGCAGGGAAACCCGGCGGGGGACCTCATCCACCCCGTCTGAACAGTGCCCTGTGTGTGCAGCGCTGCTGCTGCTTTGCTTTCCACTGGGCTTCGGCGTCTGCCTCCGATGCATCTGGGAGGAGCTGAAGGGAACTTCAGCAAGTAGAGGTTAGCCTTCCTCCCATGGTGTCTCCCTGTTCTCACTTCTTTCAGTTCTGCTTTGTTTGGTTTGCTGATCGCTGGCATCGTTGTGCCAGGAGAAAACCCATGGAGAGGCAGTTGGTGCCTGCAGCCATGTGTGGGTCACGCAGCTTTGTGGGTGTTGTGCCCGCTGCTGCGAGCTGCACTGAGCCTTTCTTAAAACATATCTCCTCAACACCAACCAAGCAGGCTTGTTTTGACACCTAATTAAGTTAATTTAGGGGGCTTAATGCAGTTCAGCAGCAGCTGAAATCACACTCTCCCATCCGATCTGATATATCGATTCCACCGGTGCTTTGTCCGTAAACCTCCTCCTGTCTCTGTGCAGCTGTAATTGTGTTTGAGAAAGGGAAAATTATATCTGTGCCCACACACCCAGAGTGTGTAATTACTGCACTGAAATACCTCTGGGGTGAGCTGAGACCGCCCCAGGGACAGGAAGGAGTTCATCAGATCTTTTCTCTGTGGATTCTGAGCTGTCTTAGAGTTGTTGGCTCCTATGCTCTGGTCTGGAGGGGATGGCAGAGGGGCTGCAGGGCTGCCCAGCAGCTGCCAACACTGCCAGAGTTTGTGGGGAACGGTGCTGCTGCTCTCATCAGCATCGCTCGTTCATTGAGGTCAGTGCAATGAGCAGCTCTCCCCTGCAGTCAATGTGTGCTTCTCTCTGGTTTTGGGCCTCTGGCAGCAAATGGCTCTGCTGGAGCCAGTGGAGGATCCTCTCCCAGGGGGTTCACATGGAACCCAGAGCACCTTGCACCCCTGCAGCACTGTGGGCTCCTGCTGGAGCAGCGATGGTGGGCAAAGCTCACCCAGCAGAAATCTCCTCCCTGCCACGCAGCGTGGGGCAGAACTTCAGCAATGCATTCTGTCGATTTTCTTACAGAGCCATTTCTGCCTTTCAGATCAAACTTCTCCCAGAACCCTCGAGAGCTTTTGCTCTGGAAGCAGCATTAAATGAAATCAATTCCTCATCCGCAGGGATGCTCCCTTCCCTGAGGCCTTTTTAGCCAAAACCCAAAGCGCAGAAGCCAGGAGCAAGCAGTGTGAGCGTGGTTCTGTTCAGTTTGTTTGGGTTTCTTTGTTCTTCCACCCCCCCCGAAACAATTTAAGTGTCTGCTCTTTGCTGAAGCAGTTGCATCTCTAATCACGTAGATTCAGAGCCAGGCAGGGGTGGGAGGGCTCTGGGCAGCCCAGCATTGGGTCTCAAAAGGAAATCAGTTACATGCATGCTCTGAGCCTTTCTGGTTTTTCTTCGCCCCTCCTCCTGATGTGTGAGTTTTGAAAGGTTCCTTAAACTGCACGGGGTTCATGCAATGCAAAATGGAATTTTCTTCTGCCATTGGTGACAAATGCTGCGAAGCAAAACCAACAGCAACAAACTCAGCCTTGCAACGTGCTGTGGGTTCCAGGCCTAGGAAGAACACTTGCTTGTTTAACCGTATTCTTTCCTCCTGTTGGTCCTCTTTCCAAAAATAACCCGTCTCTGTGACCATCCCCCAACCTCTGGGGCTGCCTATTGCTGCTGCTGGGGTTCACAGCTCCATCGCCCCTTCTCTTCTTCGCCAAGCAGACGTTTCATACCAGTGAAGACATGGAGTGGAGGAGAGGATCTGCGCTTTGTTTGCAATACGGGAGCGTTGTCGTGGCGCTGCGCTGCACGGCGCACAACCCGGTGTGCGGGAGGAGCTGCTGCTGCCCGACCGGAGCGGCCCAGATGGGCTCCTCGGCGTCATTCTTTGTTCTAAAAGTCCGATGGTTTGAAGGGGGAGGAGGACTGCATCCACTCTTGCAGAGCTGCACCTCGCGAAGCTATCAGGAATTGCAGATACGGATTAGAGGACTTGAATGCGAGGTGTGTTCGGTCACCTAAATCCTATTGGCACCGTTTGAGCTTTGCCTGGGTAATTGATTCACATGTAAATGGGATGGATAAATCCTTTACAGCTGAAATACGCTCTCTTTTACCCCCGTTTCTTTGCTTCTTTCTCTTGAATGGCGCAGGACTATAATCTCACAAAGGGAGTCTTTTGCCAGGAGGGCAGAAGCCAGGTCCTATGATGCTTGTTTCTTGCATTCCTCACCTGTTAATGGCTTGGCTGTCGCTTCTGGCCCATCACCTGCTTGTGCAACGCTCCTACGAGGCCAGGTGCGCCTTTATTGCCCCAATGTTAGCTAAGGGCTGAGCATGGGACAAATCTCTTTATTTTTAGCCAAGGAGAGGAATGCAGTTGTGAAACGGGTGCCCCGCTGGCAGCCCAGGTTTGTTTGCTTTGAGGTTCTGCACAGAGGGACTCGAATTGGCGGGAGGAAAAGCCTTTGTGAGCGCTTTGCTTTGTGAGCATTGAAAGCTATGTTTTTCCATAGGGCTTCACTGATGTTCCATGAGGGACAGGGCTCCCACAGAGGAACGTTGCCTAAGCCTCCCTCCCAGCCCACTTCCATTGAACCAGCAGTGCCACAGATGGCAATTCCTGGAGGCAGAGCCTTGCAGCACAGCCCCTCACCCCCACTTGGCAGCGATGCCATCTCCCCCATAGATCACACACTGAGCTGTGTGTGGCACAGGGTGCAATTTGGTAATGCACGTTGCCAGCTGCAAAACGCTGTTTTTCCACAATAACCACCCTGTGACAGGAGGCTTGGAATTAGATGATCTTTGAGATCCATTCTGTGCCATTCTATGATTCACTGAACATTGCCACACTATTAGCTATGCATTTTTGCAGGCAATCTGCATTCTGCTCCCATCAAACTCTGCACCAGCAGACCTGACCCACTGCTGAACTGCGCCACCTCCCCACCTCACTTTGCTCACCGCCACTCTTTGGTGTCCATCAGCTTTTTCCAGGTGTCAACGAATGGCAATGGGAGTCATTTTTTCTGCATGGAGGGATTTCATATCACACCTTTGCTGCATCCTCACTACCGTGTCAGACAGCATTCTGTCAGACTGCCCCTGTGCTGCCATCCATCACACGACAAGAAAACAGCAGCATGTTGATGTTGGTGGAAAGGTTCAACCTCTGCTGCCATAGCACCAAACATCCGCTGCCAGCTGCCACTGTGGGCCAACAGCTTAAAATAGGAGGCATTACTTTTGGAGCAGCCCTGCTGAAGAACGTGGTTTGTGTACACAGGTAACAAAGCTTATTTTAACCTTGATTTTTTATTTTTATTTTTAAATTCAACCACCTACAAAAAGAGGGCAACAAAAACCCGAAGCCAGTGGGATGTGGGAGCCACGGGAGCGGCTGCAGCTGGTCGGGTTCTGCAGTGGGATTTTACTCCTCCTGTGCTTCGTCCTTGGAAGCAGCTGTTCATCCATGTGGGCACCACCAAAAAGTGGTGACGTGAATGAATAGCGATGGGGAAGTGAGGGGTGTTTCTTGCTGGAAAGAGAGAGAGCTTACGAAGGTCTGGGGAAGAGGCAGAAGCAAAGTTTCCTTTGAGTTGAAGGTCTGGTTGCAGCTCTATCTGTTCTGTTGGAAAATTCACAGGTAGTGTGTTTGTGTCAGCAGGCAATAGAATCTGCTCCCTGTGTGCCCCTGGGAATGCTCAGCCTGCTTTGGAACCTAATTAATGCCTTGGCTTTGGAGATGCCCTTTGGCAGCATTTCCCATATTTGAACCATCCATGTGAAAACACATTTCCTCCCGCCCCCAAATCCCTGCTTGAGCCGCTTATGCTGCAATCCTGTTTGCTGGAGGTGTTCTGCTGATGTGATTTCTTTCCCAGTGCTTTACTTCTGCCTCTGCTTATCTGCCCACTCCCATCCGCTGTGCTGGGGGGCACTGGGGTGGGATGGCCCCATCCAGAGCAGAGCATTGCCCCTCGCCTCCCCATAGTGGTGTATGGGGGTCTTGGAACCCCTGAGGTTCCCTTGGCTTAGGGCTGAACTGATTTGCTTCTGCATTTGTGTAACAAAGGCTGCTGTGTGCCTCCTATCATCGCTGCCAGCTGTTGAGCATCAATATTTATAGGGTTTGTTATACAGCTTCTTGCATCTCCATCGTGGATATGGGGAGGGGAAAAAAAAAAAAGCCAATCAAATGGTTTGTGCCCACTGCTGCCATCGTCCAGAATGTGAATTTCTCTCCCCATCTCTATATGGGGTTGCCACAAACAGGGGATTTTGTGCCTGGCTTTGGCTGTATAGAATACATCCATAAATCATACAGGGAGCAGCTGCCGCTCTCCGCCGAGCCAAAATGCATCAGATATAAAACACTGCTCAGTTCCTCAGTTTGGTGGGGATAAAGTTGCTGTAGTGGAACGTTGTTACAGGCTGCTGTTAATTCACCTCAGGGCTGCTTGTAATAGCACAGCACAATTCCCCTGTGAGAAGGAGATGGGTGTTGTGACATCAGGCAGGGATGGAAGGGAGGTTTTAGGAATCAAAGCTTTGTGGAAGGAATAACTGCAGTTTGTGCTGTGATACGGGGGGAGTTCCCTGCTTTGTTACTGATGGAAGCCCTGACAATTCCAGGCAGTTCTGTCACAAATCCCACAGCAGCTCGGCACTGAATGAGGGGCTGAGTGCTGCTGATGGTGACCAGGATGGCTGCTGGGTTTGGTTCATCCTTGTGTGGTTTTCAGCTGTGTGCCAGGCAGGAATCTTGCTTCTGCCCAGCTCCTGGCTTACAGCTGCTTTCACCCAAGCAAAACAGCTTAGGAAATCTGTCCTAAATGTTTGACACTAGACTCAGTGCCTCGCAGAAATGTCATTGGCACCGTGTTCAGCAGCGGGCCGTGGTGCTGCTGGTCTGACACAGTGCTGTCCCTTCAGCCTAAAGGGGAGGGAAAGCAATGGGGAAAGCTGCACTGTTTTCTGAACAAGGAGCCAACGTCTGATCAGGGCTCTGCTTTTTTTCCTTAGAAAAAGAGGCTTCAGAATGTCCCATCTCCTCCTTGCACAGTGGTTGGGCTGAAAAAAGTGAGAGCTGGGTGGGTTTGAAGGCGTTACCACGCTGTGGGAGCACGGAGCTGCCGTGCTGCTGTGTTGTGTGGGGTCCTTCAGTGCCCAAGCCCCTTGTGGGCACTGGGATGAGCAGTGGGAGGAAACGAATTACAATCCCTGTTCTTATCAGATCCTGAGCCTGATGCTCTGCGTCCAGCGCAGTGCTGCTGGTGGCTGCGGTCACATTAAGCGTGCTCCCTGCAATAGCCTTCCATTTCTGCTGGAAAAGAAAGAAGTGTTTGCAGCAAGAGCAGAGCCCAGGGAGAGGAGCTCTCAAACTGTTAGAGCTGACCCTGGTGCAATGTGTGAGGGCTGCAAAGTGCCAGCATTCAATGAGAGTATTTCTTCCGAGCTGCGCCGCGCCGACTCAGGGAATCTCAGGGCTGCGTTTCTGTTTCAGTAATGCTGCAGCAAATGAGGAGTTGGGTTTTGGATTCAGACTGCTCCAAGTAAGCCTCCCGAGCTCTCCCCTCCCACACACAGTGCTGCTGGTGGGGCTGCTCAGTTCGGTGCTGTGCTGGTGCTGCTGGTCTCTGTGTCGCACAGCAGCTCCCTGCGGACGGCGGCTGCTTTGATGCCACTTGATGTGAAGCACATGAAAAAATCCTTCGCTTGGGTTCTAAAGTCTCACTAAAAAAAATCCAGCCGGGACTTTGATGTTGAGGAGATGCCGCTCAAAGTGCCCCAACCCTCTGAAGCCCGCCTGCCTGCCCTTATCTCAGAGGCAGAGCAGCGAGTGGGCGCCTTGGGCAATAAAACAGCAGCAGCGGCAAAACTGTGCGCTGATTACTTATGGTCTGAGCATCTGCAGGCAGGAGAGGAAATCGCCGTGAGGGACCTGTGGTGCCTTGAAGGACCCTGCACTTTGTTGTGGAGGCTGTGAATGGCTGCTTGAGGACCTTTCGCCGCCGTGCAGCTGAGTGATGCCCCGTGCTGGGATGCTGCTGGGTTCAGGGCAGCTGTGCTGGGATGCAGCAGGACTGCTGGTGGCTGTTGCTGGAGGATCAGACCGTGCTGCTCTGGCATTCCCCACGTCTTGCTGCTGCTGTGCGAGTGAGAGAGTGAAATTGGCCTTGAACCAATTTGGTTTTATTATTTTTTCAGTTTTATTTTAACTTCTCTCAGCAGTGTGGCATACCAGGGCCTGGTGTGTGGTTGGCTCCCGTGTGCTATATTTGTTTTCCAGGGTGATGCTCGGTGCTCTGCAATGTGTCACACACTGCACCAAATTGCTTTTCACAGTTAAGAGGGAATTAAACGATCTCCTTTTTTGTCTATATTGCGTTTTTGTGCACAGGAATCAATCCAACCCCACTGTGAGTTGGTTTAGGAATGCTCTCCTAAAATAATTTTCTGCACAGCATTCCCAGCCCATTCCTGTTTGGTGCTGGCTCTGACGGGGTAAGCAGGACTGTGCCTGATGGCGCCAGGCTGCAGAATAGCTTTTGAGTTCACTGCCTGCCCCATCGAGCAGCACCAGGCCTGGTACAACCCCATAGGGCTGGAGGGATGAGCCCGCTGTTCTGCCCGCCGGCCGCCGGTTCGAATCCCGCCTCGGCACTTTGTGTGGTGAGCACTGGGGCTCCCTTAGAAATGGGCATTTATTTATATCACTAGTGGCAGGGCTGTGATTTACCCCCAGAGGGATGTCTGCACAAAGCATGGTGCTAATTCTGTATGCTGTGCTGAGGATGTGTCCAGAGATGCTGTGTCCTGTCTTCATTAAAAGCTGAGCGAGATGGAAGGCTGAAATCTTTGCTTACAGAAGACATATGTGTGTAATATAAGGCTGCTGCTAATTCTTCCTTGAGATTGATAGAGAACATCGAGGACAAATTCACTCAATATCGTGTTTGCTTCTGTAAATGAAGCTTCCCCGAACCTGAGGCAAGACAGAAACATGACTTGGTGTCTGTGCTGCTCTCTTTCAGTCAAATGGAAATAGCTGTCTTTATTTAAGAGGTCTCTGTTGGCACTGCGGTGCCGATGCTTCCTGAGACAATGCAATGGACAGAAATCTATTTTCCAGGCTGGAAGGAAAGCAGAGAAACAAAACAAAGAAAACACCAACAAATTGGAAGAATGAAGAGTGAGGAGGAATTGAAGTGTCCACAGAGTTCACAGTGCGGGTGACTGGAAGTGATGGGGGAAAGGCAGCGAATGCTGCTTGTGTAACACACAGCGCTGGGTCTGAATGCAGGACTGCTCTGCCTGTGTCCATGTGCAGCACTTGGTAACAAGGTCTGTACCCTTTGGTTTGATAACATTCATTGTACTTCACTAAGCTGGGAAAAGATGGTTTCCTGTCTATAGAATTCCTGGTGATGCTGATTTGTTGTTTATCCTTGTAGTGTTTGTGCTGTGTGCTCTGCTGTGCACCCAGAAGCCAGCACTGCTGTCCCTTGAACTCATCTTCTCCCTCAGTGCTATCTGCTCATCCTTCCTGAGATTGTTTCTACATCCTGAGTTCCATATGTAGGAAACTGCACAGGTGAGTGATCAGACACAGCCGCACGGAGGGACGCTTCTGACGTCTGTTCATGCTGTGCTGCAAGCATGGCACAGCCAGCAGAGAGCAATGTGTGCCCCAGGTCAGCATGAGCCTGGGTCTCCCCGAGGCTCAGTGCTGCTATGGGTGCTCAGCCCTGCTGAGAGGTGTGAGCACGGCTGGGGGTTTGGTGGGCCTGGGATGGAGCCTGGTCCTGACTGCAGGGCTCAGTGCCTGCGGCTCTGCTCTTATCTCCGGGAGTTTCCATGTCCTGTTTGATGGGATCTTGCTGCTAGAAGTGAGCTGCTGAGCCCAGTTTTGGGATGATTCCTTCATTGCGATCTGAGCAATCCCATAAACAGGATGGGGAAATAACCCTCTGCTATGCAGGGCTATGAGGCAGAGTGAGCAAAGCACTGAAGAACATTGCTGCATGTTTGGTGGTGGCTCCTGGGCTGCATTGCTGCTGCCCATCACAGTGGTGGAGACCTGCAGCTGCTGCACACACCGTGCTGTGCTCCCCAGGAGAGGGGAGAGCTGGGGCTTACAGCAGGTACAGCTGCACTTTGGCTGTTCTGGAACCGGGCTGGGAGCTGTCGGTCTGGCAGCAGCCTGCATTAGTATGTTCTCTGTATTTTCTCTTCCCCAGATGTTGCTCTAACAGCCCCACTCCGTTCATTTGCCGTTCCATTGCTATACCCGAGTGCTTCCTCCCTTTCTGCAGCTCTCTTTGGCTGGCTCCTTTGTTTTGTTGACATCAGAGAAATCACTTTCCATTGACATTTGAGCAGAGCAGTTCCATTCATGCCCTCAGCAGCTGCTCACCACCCCACAAGCAGCAGGCAGTGTTTGCTCAGGGCAGTGCTATCAGAGGGCACAATTTGTGCCACCAGGTTTAGTTTTTTCCTCTCGAGAGACAGTGCTCAGTTTATGTATTCTTAATACGGAGTTTCTATTTCCCCTTTGAAGGAGTTTTATGGGCTGAGGTTACTCTTTCTTTTTATTCACCACATAACAATAAAGCAGTGTTGTGCTCCCGCAGCCTGCAAACCTCCAGCACGTATCACAGCCATAAAACCCTGGTGCTGTTATTCAAACTGGGGCAGAAGAATTCTCCGTATTTTCATTCAGGTTGCTCACTCATTTATTTTATGACACGTGTGTGGTTCTCCCTGAGCTCCTACGGTTCTTAACGCTGGAGAATAAGAAATGGCAGATTTAATCACGTTGAATAACGTACATTTGTTTGCTTTAACACCGCTCTGCGAAGCGCCTCGGGGCTGCTTGGGGCATCCATGTGCAGTTTCTCTCAGCAGCCCTTCTGCTTTCCAGCCTTTGTGTTGTGACGATCTCTTCCTGAGTTCCTTGCGATGCTTCATTTTAATATATATTCCCTTGTCACTGCAGAGCTGAGCTCAGCCTTCTTGTGACACCTGAAGCATTGCTGTGAGGGGAGACTGAGATCCAGGTGAGCGAGAGGAGCAAAGGGTGGGACTGAGCAGCAGAAACCCATGCAGAGAGGAGGAACACCCGTGCTGGGGCACAAAGCACACTGCCTGCTTGCAGTGTGAGGCACTGGAGCTTGGATGCTGCCGTCCCAAAGGGCACGAGCTGCGATGGGAGCACACAACCCTAAGGGCAGCAGCGTGTGTTCCCCTGCCAGCTGCTCCCTGAGAGTGATGCTATCAGCTCAGCTTTGTTCTGCTGCGTGCAGCCTCGCTCTGCTGCACAGCACCGAGCAAAGCGCTGATAGATAGGATCTGCCCAGCCCTGCACAATGGAAAGTGCCACGGCACCCAGCCAGGGCCCAACCTCAGCCCTCCTTTGGGATCTGCTCCCGCAGCACTGCTGTGTCACACTGATGCTGCTGGCTTTGTGCATTTCTGTACAGCTGTGTTTCTCACAGTTGTTCTTTACAGATGCATTAGAAATCCATCTGAAGGTCAGTCTTAACAAAGCTGATGCTTATCAGCTTTCTCCAAGTTGCTTTTTTAAATTTTTTTTTTTTTTTAAATATTTTGGTGAAGAAAATCATTTTCCAAAGCTGCATTTGAAACATCCATGAGCACTGTTAATCCCACAGCTCCTCAGGGTGAGGAGATCTGGTCCCATCCCACCCCACAGCCCCATTAGCCCCCGGTGTGACCTGTGTGCTGCAGCTCCCCCAAAAGATGGTTTCCTTCCAGCATGGGGATCCCACAGGTCACCACTTTGGACACCTTTGTAAGGCAGAGAGGGGAAAAAGCAGTGCCCAGGTGAGTGCCCCAGGATGGGAAGGGAAGCTGCTGCTGGGAAAGGCAGCAGTGACACGGTGCTGTATAAATCATCAGCCTGGCAGCTGGGTGTTGCTGGCAGAGATGCAGGAGGTGCCCACTGCTGGGATGCGAAAAGGTGTGTCCAGGTGGTGGCAAATTTGATATAAGGGCAGCTGCTGGAGCTGCTGCTGCAGCGCCAGAAGAGCGGGCAGGAGCCGGGTGCTGTGCAGAGCCGGGCTGAGACGGCATCTCCCAGTGCAGGTGACAGCAGAGCAGAGTCTTGCAGTGCCATCCCTGTCCTTTTGCACTGCTCATGCCACCGCTTCCCCTGCTGCAGGATGATGAAGCCGCTGAAGCTTTTTGGAATGGTCATCTTCTGTGGGCTGCTCTCTCCCACCCAGGGGGTTCTATCTGGCCTGTCCTGTGCCGTCAGTCCCAAGGCCACGCAGCAAGGTAATGGGAGTGGTGGTGGTCCCATGGGGCCGGTATGTGGTAAAACCCCTGGCTGCTGTCATTGCTGTACGCTTCCTCGGGGCTGCAGGAACCATTGCTGGGTTCACAGGGAGGGAGACCTTCTGTCTCCAGGACAGGGGTGGCATTCTGCTCCAAACAGCCATGCAGAACTTTAGGATTCTGGATCCTTTCCTCTCCTCTTTGTCTTTGTTTTCATTTCCCTGTTAGAGCAGCTGATTTTTTTGCCAACAGCCACGGTGAAGCTTAGCAGCCACCTTCATGTGCACAGTGCTCTGGCTTACTTCTTGTTGCTTCTGTTCCAAAAGCAGACCAAAGGAAAGCAAAACTAATGCCCTCTGGAAGCAAGCAGCAAGCAGTGGGCTGCAGCTGTGCCGTGCTCCTGCTGAGCCCAGTGAGGGCAGCTTTGTTATTAGGCATTATAAAACATCACCCCCCCGCTATTTGACCACATGGATGTTGGAAATGGCTCACACAGGAGTTTGGGGAGAGGTGGGAGCTCACACGGAGCTGTTTTGCAGCGCTGTCCAATGCCATCATTCAGAACGGGCTTCTCCAGAAGCACCTGCAGGGCCTGGTGCTGCCGAACATCATGAGTGACGGGGGTCTGCTGAACTCCCCCACCATCATCACGGGGTGAGCAGGGCTGGGCATTGCAGGCAGTGCTTTGCCCTCGGGGTGTTCTGTAGGTTTGTGATGGCTGTTTGCTGCTTTTTGCAGGCTGCACCTGGAGAGGTCCCGGATGCCCACACTGTCAATGGAGCTGCTGCCTGGGATTGGGATGCAGTTGGTCATCACCGTGCGCCTGGATCTCAGTGGTAACTGGTGAGTGTGCAGAGCTCCGGGATGCTGTCAGGTCTGCATGTGTCCCATAGCACAGTGCTTTGAGTCCTGCGTGGGTTCACCTATAATAAACCCACGTGTAGCAGAGAATGGCTTGTGGCCTTCACCACAAATTGCTGATGATGGAGGTTTTGCTGAGCACCTCTGGTGAGCGGAACAGATTCCATCTCTCAGCCTCTCATTCGCCTCTTTCAGCTTGCTTGGCCTTCTCTCCGAGGTAATTGTTATCTCCGTGGATGTGACCGTTACCACAAACATCAAATGCTCAAGTTTCGAGTCGGGTGCAGTCCAGGTCATTGCTGATGACTGCTTCTGCATTCTTGGTGCTGTAAAGATCAAGCTGCTCTCTGGGTAAGTGCTCGTGGGTTGATATTTTCCATTGCCCTGTGCTTTATCCCATGATCTGGACTGGCTGCCAGCCCTGTGCCAGCAGAGCCAGGGAAGAGATTCCTTTCCTGCTGCCAGTGGTGGTTTCTCAATGGAAAATTGGCTGCTGGAAGATGAGGGCTGACGATCTGAATGACAAGGTTTAGCATCAATTCCAATGCAGTTCTGTTAGACCTAGCTAATGAACTGATATCTGAGACATACTAACCTGAAGGTGGGGGGGAGGGGTGCCAGGAAAGCAGCCCCACTGGTGTGCCTTGCTCTGTTCTCCAGTCTTGCCCTTTGGCTGCTGTAGCAGAAAGGCATTGGGCATTTGATCCATCAGTCTGACCACTGTGGGGCTGTGTGATCCCATGCAAGTGTCCCCTCTGCAGGGGGTGGGTATGTGTATGCCCAGGTATTTCATGGTGGATCCTCAGATATGTTTGCAGGGAGAATCTCCTGTAAGTAGAGTGCTGCATGGCGAGTCCACACCATCTGCAGATTGCAGCACTGCTGTGTGTTCGAGCTCAGTAGTTCAGAAATGTATTGATTCTCAAGCTGAATGTCTCTGCACTGCCTGCAGGCAGCATATAACCCAGAGTGATCTATTTAGCAGCAGTGAGGGAATGCTTCACAGCAGATTTCTCCTCTCGTTATTCCACATGTAAATATTTTGTTTCCCGTAACTAACATGGAATTCACAGCAACAACACCTCCCCTTAAGTACAGCACTGATTTAGATGCCAGAGGGAGATGGCCAAGCTCAGGATGCACTGCGAGAAACTTCCTTGCCCACAGTGGTGTCTGCACACTCCGAGTGCTGCAGCCATGAGCCCAATCCTTCCTCCTTGAGGCACACAGCCCTTCTGCTCGTGGGACAACTGGGGCTGGGGCTGTGTGGACAGTGAAAGTCTTCTGCTTTGCTGCAGTGATGGGGAGTTGTTGGTTTTTGGCTCTCATACATTCTCTTTTGTTTTTTTCCCTCTTTTCCAGTTTGCTGTCCCTGTCAGTGCATGACATTGTGCTCAGCCACCTGACAGCAACTTTGCCTGGTTTGGTAAGTCTGAAATCAGCCTTCCTCCCGTAGCAAAAATGCTATTTTGAAATACAGGGGAGAAAGCACAGCATGGCTGCAGTGAGCTGTGGCATGCCTGTGCTTTGCTCCCACAGTGGCAGGGTGCAAGGTGGGCAGCCTGGCTGCTGCTGGTGCACTTTGCCTGAGGTGTCCCCAAGCAGCCCAGGGCACCTCCACCACCCCCAGCCCATCCCAGTGCCTGCTGGCTGCCCTATGGCTTCATGCTGCAGCTCAGAGCCATCAGGGCTGCCAGAGCCATGCAGGGCACATGTGAGCTGTCCTGTGTTGTGTTCTATTGCAGCTGTGTCCAGTGATGGATATTGTCTTCAACATAGTGAACATCCAGCTCCTGAGCACTCTGGATGGTACGTCCCAGTGGAAGATGTTTGCTGTGTTTGGGTGGTGGGATGCACACGGTCCCGTGCTGCTACCCCAGTGCTTTGGGGTCCTAAAAGCTCCAAGGGCAGAGATCGACTCTGAATGAGAGCATCTCACAGCCTCGGGTTTCAGCTCCTATCTTTGAGCTACATCCACAGCTCATAACCCACAGAGTTTCATTTGGGGACGTTTTGCCAATGCTGAGTGGCAGCGATTTTACAGAGCTCCCCCAAAATGCAGGTGCTCTGTTTGTGCTGCTCCCTCTGGCTGGGACCTGGGGCTGGGAGGAGCTGTGTGTTCCCTGACCATCACCATTGTTTTCCCCATGCAGTGGTGATCCCTGTCGGCTCGAAGGGGACGGTTCACTACCACCTGGCTGGCCCACCATTCACCTTTGGTTCTTCCCTGATTATGGATTTAGATGTAAGTGAACACTGGATATCAGTGCCCTGTGCACCCCAGGCTTCATTCAGCACAACCAAACGGATGGGCTGTGCTGATGAGCTGTTCTGACAGCCAGCTAAACGTGCCAGCCCCTATCCGACCCCATCACCAGGTGATTGGGTGCTCTCTTTTGCTTTAGTAGCAAATTTGCTGTATTCTGCCCACGTTGTTTGCAGGCTGCATGGGATGAGCAGTTGCCACCCCCTTGCACTGCCTGAGCCTGTGGTGCAGCATTTTGCTTTTGCTGTGCACTCTGTGTGATGGGTGACTGCTAAACCAAGCCAACGGATGTATTTTTTTACTGCTGCCTCACAGGAAAAAGACTCAAAAAAAACCAAACAGTAATTTCAAACAGGAGAAATTAAATAAACAGAGCTAGCAAGAAGCAACTGGCAGGTGAGGAGTAAGGGCTGAAAGAAGGCTGAGTGCTCCACCTGACAGGGCAGCAGTGCTCCGTGCATTCTTTAGTGCAGATGTCATCAGGATTGGGCTTTGCTCCCACAGACAGTCAGTCTTCTTAGCAAATAGGTGACATTAGCACAGGTTTGTTGCAGTTGGAGCCATGCTCTGTAGGGTGACATGGAGCAGTGGTCTGGGATTTGGGCAAAGCGTGCTCGTTATCAGGGGCTTCAGTTACACACAGGTGTCCATCAGCTCCTTTCACACACTAAATCTGGAAGGAACAGCTCTGTGTGCAGTGCAGGACCACGTTGCTGTTTGCTCACAGGGCACGGTGCAGCAGATGGGAGGCAGCATCATCCCCCACGACTCGTATGCCTCTTCCTTGCCCCCGCTGCTGGACAGGCTGCTGATCATCGGTGTGCGCCAGAGCTTCCTCAGCTCCCTGCTGGCCCTGCTGCTCCAGATCCAGCCATACACCTTCCCCTGCTCGTCAGAAGCTGTGAGTGCCACGGTGCTACGTTGCACATCAGCAGCCCTTCCTGCTGCTGGTGGCTCTCACCTGAATGAGTGAGCGGCACTGCTCTGCACTGGGGAGGCTTGGGACTGGCCCAGGAGTGCGACTCAAGCGGCTGGGAGCAGACATGGGAAGTGGGTGGGTGGTGCTGGGACCTGCAGGATGCCCACCTGGGCTGTGCACTTCTTTCCCTGCAGTTCTCTGGAGCCAACCAGCTGAGAGATTCCATCACAGCCCTTTATCCCACTGGGGTGAGTGACTTTGACTGGGTAAGTGTTGGGTAAGTCTTGCTGGGTCCGAAGCCATCTACAGAACGCACCTGGACAAACACCTGAGCCATCTCTGGTTCTCTGCAGCCTTGTGCTTCTACTTCTCTCTGCTGTCTGGTTTTGTTCTCTGCACTTGCATAAATCTGGGCTTGTCCAAGGTGTGCATGACCTCAGGGGAGCCCCACAGAGCTGTGGGGCTGTGTGTGTCCATGGGCTGAGTGCAGGCAGCCACCTTCACGTCCCCCATCCCTGCAGTGCACCAGCTGCCCTTCGGCCAGTCCTCTGAGCATCCGTGTGGAGTCTGTGGGGAACCCCATCCTTCTCTTGGAACCCAACAAAGCCACCGTTGAGCTGTCGGTCCTGCTCCAGGTGTTCGTGAAGCACCCGGATGGGTCCATCATCAACCTGCTGCTCCTGAAGGCAGTAAGTGGAACACGAGGTGCCTGGGCTGCCAGCAGGGATGGGGCCGTGGCCTGGGCTGACCTGCTCACTGTCTGCTTGCAGGACCTCAGTCTGAACGTCCGCCTGTCGATTTCCAGGGGCAGCCTGATGCTGGCCTTCTCCCTGGGCAGGTAGCCTGTCCTCCCCTGTGGTACCTGGCCTGGGGCTCTGCTGAAGCTCATTGTGCAGGGGTGTGGTGACACAGCATGGCAGGAAGGGCAGTGCATCCCACTGGGATGACCTGAGCAAGCTGGAAGCAATGGGAGCAGAGTGCAGTGTGGGAGTTCAGCCCCATTCCGGGCTGCTGGAAGCCTCTCTAAGGCAATGTTGGCTCTGGAGCTGCTGTCTGGGCATTTTTCAAATGTGCCCCCCGGATTTCCCAAATCTGAGAATTCCATATCTGAATGGTGGCACAAAGTGGAGGAGTGATACTCATCACAGTGGTGGGAGAGTTTTAGGAGCATGGAAGGAAATATGAGTCCACTTTCTAACCAGGAGAGATGAGGCAGTCTGAAAAACTGTACCAGTGTCAGCTTGACTTTGATCCTGGGCAGCACTTCCAAGTGCCTGATATTGGACATGAGTGATAAAGGAGCAAAGGAAAATGCTATCGTTAGTGCCAGTCAAGGTATGATTAAAGATTGGGAAGCATTTCTTACAGCGTGAGGTCTGAGGAATTCAAGCCATTTACCTTGTCAAAGGGTTAGATTTAGAAGCAACATTGGCACAGCCCATATGCAGTGCTACAGACAATGGAAATGCATCAAAGGGCTTTTAATTCAATAGACAAAGATATAACAAGATTCAAAGGAAGCAGAAAAGAGAAACTCAAAGTGGAAATAAAGCAGAGGTTTTAGCTATGGAGATAACTGTGTGATTGCAGTGACAGATTGGGAACTTTGGCAGATTCTCCCGAGCTCATGATCCTTATGTTTGGGCTGGGTGCTTTTTCTAGAAGCTCTGCTCTCAGCTAAACAGAAGCTGATTCCTCTCTTAGGTGAAAAGCTACCTGGGCACAGGAGAGGAGGGGGAGTCCCTCGCCCATGGGCTGAGTAACGCAGCGCTGGGGGTGTTGGGCTGGGGGCTGAACTCCTGCTGCTGACCCACTGACTGACGTGCCATTGGCTTTTCTTTTCTGCAGAGTTTCCCTCATCTTGCAGTCATCTGACATTGGCATCAGTGATGTAAGTCCCCCATCAGGAGGGCCCTTCCCATGGGGTGTGGGGGGCATGGTGCCAGGGGTGTGAGCTATCAGCTGCAGCTCTGCACACCGTGGCAATGCTTTTGCTGCTTTTTATTACTATTATTAATTATTATTATTGCTATGCCTTTTCTAATAATGCAAATGCAAAGCCTGAAGTTTGTGCTTATTCACCCTTGCTTGGGTTGAGCTCACTGAGCTCCAGCTGAAATGTTATCCCTAGAGCTCTTCCCAAAGGAGGCACCAAATACAAACAGAAAGAAAAGTAGTTTTGATTAAAGAAAAGGCCATGTGCTGAGCTGAGCTGTGCTGCCGCACTGCTGCTCATGGTGCTGTTCCATCTTTGCCTCAGATCTCCAACCTGAAGCCACACCTCATTAAGCTGCTGGTGGAGACCTACATGCCACTTCTCAATGGTAAGGAGCCTGGGGCAGCCCTTGATTTGGAGCACTTTTGTTGCGGAGAGGGGGTGGTTTCTATGTGGCAGGGGGGTTGCTGTGTCCAAGCTGAGGCTGCAGCTGTGCTCCCACAGCCAGCTCTCAGCACTGGGGGCTGTGTCTCCCTACACTGGGTGAGGCTCTGTCTGTCTCGCAGCTGCTGCAGCCGTTGGGATACCCCTGCCTGATGTGTTCAGAATTCCTCTGATAAGAGTGGACTTCCAGATCTTGTTGGTGAGTGTTGGACGTGGCTCTGCCCTCCTGTAGGCATTGGTGTGAGTTGGGTTGCTGGGGTTGTTTCTGGCACGTGGGTCCTGCTGAGGACATGCTGCAGGGGCAGAATGTGCCACCGGATTGGAACATCCTGCAGCCCTTCGGAGCGATGCTGCACAAAGAGCCCCAAGTCATGGCAAGCTCTGAGCTCTGCAGAGAAAGGACCTGGGTCAATCTGGTGCCAACAGGGTGAACAGGAGCCAGCCGTGTGTCCCTGTGTCCAAGAAGGCCAATGGTGGCCAACAGGGGGACCGAGAGCCAGCAGTGTGCACTGGTGGCCAAGGAGAGGCTGGGCAGTGACGTGGCCATGTTACTTTGCAGGGACTGTTGTTGATCCTCGTGTGAGCCATGCACTATGCAGGCAGCTCTGGAAAGAAAGAGGGAGGAGATCCGGTCAGGATGGAGCGTTGGAACCAACATTATCATCTTTCCTTTCCTAAACGTACTGCAAGGTTCTTGGTAATATTTAAGGCACTTTAAATTAAATTGGCTTACATGGTACTGAGATGCTTGCATAAGCCAACACCAGTTAGGCAGCTCTGTGTAGAAATATTTATTTAGAGAAATTAGGGCGAATTAGAGGTCACGGTTGCAGAAGTGGCGTGTGATGCTGCAGCTAAAGTGTTAAATTCCTTGAGAATTTGGTCTTTGGGAAAGTTGTTGTCCGTGTAATGAAAAAGGGAAATTTTGCATGTGGCTCTCCAATGCGGATGTCTCCATCCGTGCTGAGAAAAGTCCAAAGCGCTGAGCAGGAGCTCGGGATGCATTTGTCACTGATTGCTTCAGCAATAAACGTGCATTCTTTTTTAGTGCTCAGAAGGAGGTTTGTGATGTTCTTGGGGATGCCCCCCTGTGCCTCCTGCTGGAGGATCTGTTCCTCTGTGACAGTGCTATGTTGGGGTTCGGTTTGAGACCTTGCATCCCAAATTTCTAACAACACTCTCGGATGGCCAGTGGCTCCTGCTGTTGGGTTTCCCTTTGCTAAAACACACGTAGGAATCAGAATGAAACTGAATTTCCAAACCAGCAGGCATCAGCTCCTGTGTCACTCAGGGTGCCCTGGGGCTGGATGAGCTCTGAGCACCCATGGTCCCAACTCAGTGGTGTGGGTCTGGCAGTGCCAACCCGGTGCCAGGAGGGGCTCAGGGCATGGTGACCCTGGCCCTTTGCTGCCAAGCTAATGAATGCTTTTCCTACTGCAGCCTATTCCTCTCGGGAAGCTAGGTTAAGATATATTAGTCAAGGAATAATGGTTGCAGCTCTACCAGCAAACTTTTATTAGGAACAGTTCCTGCTATTGCCAACCTCGGGCATTAAAATCATTAGTCAGGTCCCCAGGATGAGCATAGAAACCTTCAGGTTTTTTCCCTCCCTGCAATAAATCACACTGGCTTGTTTTGTTTCCTTTCCTATCCCCGACTCTCTGAAATATGAGGTTTTCAAGTGCTTTTCAGCTGCTCCAAAGGCTGGAAATGATGTGGACAGGGAAAGCAGATGGATGTGTAATTAACACAGCTCCATGGGCTGGGTGCTGAGCTCACTGCGAGTGGTGTGGGCACTTCTGGGCAGCACGTGGGGACCCTGTCCTCCCACCAATCATAGAATCACAAGGTTGGAAAGGACCTACCAGATCATCTAATCCAAAAATGACACCTCTGACACCGTGGCACAGGGTCTGATTGGTGCTCCTGCCCACCCACTCTGCTACAGCTTTGCCAGAAGCATGTTGGAAACATGACCATCTTTCAGGCTAATATTAGAAACCATTGTACAGATGATGGGTGATTTTTTTTTTCTTCTTCTTTCTGGCCCAGCTCACCAGCTTTTTGGTTCCCATAGTAACACTAGAAGTGGAGGAATAGCCACAGGGTGTCTGTGGTGGGTAGGGGCGATGCTGTGCTGCACGGGGCTGCCTTGCATCCACAGAAATTAGTGGAATTTTGATGCTCCCTCGGTGAAATCTAAGGGCTGGGCATTGGTGCTGGCACTCAGTGAGATGGAGTTCATCCATCTTTTGGTATGCTGAGGGGGAAAATAATTGATACCATACAGGAGAATGCAACATTAAGGAGAAATGTTTAATTAAAGCACGGAATATTGTTACAATCCATCCTCCTCATGCACCAAGAATGCAAAGATCAGGGTTAGAGGAGGAAGACTCTAATGCAATGTTATCCTAAACGTGAGGAAGTGTTGTTTTACTTAAGAAATAAAAATCCACAAAGCAGAGTGGTTTTCCACTGCTTTCACCCAAACATTGCGGCAGTTTCAGGCCATGGTGCTCTGCAGCTTCAGGTTGCATGGGACCAGGACGTACTCCTATAGACAGAGGGAAGCAGGCAGGGACAGAGCACGCCTTGCTCCTCCCAGAGCATGCTTTTGGCTTGTGCTAATGTGCTTAGTGAGGAATGCCCATGCAAAGCAAGGGAACGTGGTGCTGGGAGGATACAGCTCAGAGCTGGGAGGGAAGTGTGAGTCCTCTTTAAATCAGGTATAGCAGGAGCAGCTTAAATGTCTTGTTGCAGGGAGCACTTTGCCTGTGCTGCTCCTTACCTTGTGGATCACAACGCTGACGTCGGTGTAGGTGAAGCGGGACAGGTGAGGCAGCTGCACGCCTTCCCTCAGCACATCTGGGAGGAGAAATGGGGAAAGCAGACGGGGAAGTTCCCAGCAGAGCACTGCCCTGTGCCCAGTGCTGCCTGCAGGAGTGCCTGCTGCTCACCATCCATCCATGCTGGCACCTGCTGGCATACAGGGGCCAGGAACAGCTCCTCCAGCAGTGCAGCCTGCAGGGTGAAATGGGACAGAGTCAGCTCCGAAAGGGAGAGGGAAAAGGCTGGGGCTGGCAGTGGGGTCCTGGTGTGCTGCCATGAGCACTGTGAGCACACGCTGCCCTGCTGCTGGCCCAGCTGGGGTGTCTATGGTGTGAGGTTGGCTGAGGATGGCTGGGCTCAGCGCAGTGCCGTTAGGGGCCTGACTATGCTCCACTTCCTGGGGGTTCTTGGGGCACCTACCGGCACCAGGCCCACATTGGAGGCAGCCAGGCTGAGCTCAGCATCCCTGCAAAACAAAAGGCAGCACCAGGCTGTTGCTCAGCAGCCCTTTGGCCCCAGTGTCTGTGCAGTTTTCCTGAAGCACCTGTGCTTGGTGACAGGCACAGGCTCACACACTGGGCAGTGCCTGGCCAGCATCTCCCTGCAGCCAGGCACCTCCCAGCTGGCAGTGGCACTGCCTTTGCCCTGCACACAGCAGCATGGAGCTGGGGGTGCCTGGCCCTAGGGCTGCAACGAGGATTTGCTGTGAGTCATGGGATGCTTGGGGTGATGCACAGCGGCGGGCATTGTTTCTGTTTTCCTCTCACCACTTCCTTTGGGTTAGAGCTACATCTGCAAAGACAAGCTATCAGAGCTAAGGAATTCCTCAGACTGCTCTGCCTCTCCCATCCCATGCTATGGCTGTGCCGTGTCCCCTGCAAGGCTGCAGAGCACAGCCAGGTTTGTTACTCTATCACTGCTGTGGAGATCATCATCCGTGTGTCAGAGACGCTGAGCTGCAGTCCTGCGGTCACGTCCTGCGAGGAGAACAGGGTCAGAGTGAGCAAATGGTGTCATTGCGGATCAGAATGATGGGATGCAACGAAGCTGTCTGTGTGCTGCCCCTGCAATGCCCTGCTCACACCCTGCTCATGCAGGAGACCGATGGCACAGGGTGCTGTGCCCACTGCAGTGCTCACTCACCGCGCTCACGCTCAGGAAGCTCTGGAAATCGGGTGAGCCTGCCCCGATGTGAACAGTGAGGAAGAGCTTCAGAGCTGCCCGGCCTTCCTCCAGCATCACCCGAGGAGAGCTTCGGAGCGCGGCGCTCAGCATGATGGGCAGGTCCTCATGGTACAGGGAGCCCACCTGCAGGGATGCGTTTCCAGCTCGGCTGTCCTGTGCTTGGGGGAGGGCAGTGGGGCATCGCCCCATGGCAGCAGGACACAGCCACGCACCTGAGTGATCTTCTGTGCCAGCGTGGCAGTGGTCAGCATGCTCTGGAAGCAAAGTGCAGCCTATCAGCTGAGGTAAGAGCACCGGAGGTGATGCGGTGTGGCTCTGACAGCAATTGCTATCGTTGTGTCCTTTCCTCCTCCCTCGCCTGCTACTCACTGGGATGGTCATGTTGAAGGCTCCGGCCCTCTCGAGGCTGAAGTAGAGGCTGGTGTAGAAGTGCTCAGACAAAACCAGGATGAGATGGGAAGTGCTGGAGCTTGCCAGCTCAGGCATGCTGAAGGGCATGGCGGGGCTGACCGGCACAGGGACAACTGCCCCCTCCACCTGGAATGTCGTCTGCAGAGACATGGGGAGGGGAAAAAGGGCTGGGGGTGCTCAGGGCATGCTGCAGGAGGTGCAGTGTGCAGCACGGAGGTGGGTGCTGCAGAGCCCTGCCTTACCTGCAGGGACAGGGCAATGCCCTGCTTGGAGAACACGGGGGCAGCCAGCGGCAGGTACTGGAGCTGGCAGCTGGGGGTGACGGGAAACAACGCTGCAGAGTGAGCAGAGGAACACTCAGAGGGGAGCAGAGGTGGAAGGCTGTGCCTGCGACCCTCCTGCGTTTCCCGGAGGAATCGAATTCAGAAGGGGAGAGCAGGATTCGTTTCTCGTGATGCTCCGCCCTCCCCACTCCCAGATTTCTGGAGCCTGGACCTGCAGCACTGCTCACCTGTCAGCGATATCAGCTGCTCATTTGGAAGAAAGAGCAACTTGGAGACATCCAAGCAAAGCTACAGGATAAAGAACAAACCCTGAGAGGTGGGAGATGAATGCAGGGGCTGCCTCACTGTCCCTGGGTGCGTCTGCTGCAGACCTTCCAGAACTTTGTCTCCTGCTGCCTCCTATCTGTGCAGATGTTCTCTTACCTTATCGACATTCACCTCTTTGTCCAGGATGGATCTGGAGATCTTGCTGGATGAAAACAGCAGAGCAGAGGAGGTTAGGCAGCACCAGCTTGGCCAAGGGACCCAAAAGGTGTTTAGAGATGTCGTTATCATTACTTTCAATCATCTGTTAAACTGTGACTATAGCGTGGAACCCCACTTGCACTAAAGATGTTCCTGCTCAGTGCTTGGAAACATCTGCTCCCTTCTGAGAGAATGAAACTCTATTAAGAGAGAGGTGAGGACAATGCTGCAAACGGATCAAAGCTTCTGCCTTGAGGCTAAAGCATTTGTGTTAACCTCTGTAACCTCTGTAACTTAGGTCAGCGATCAGCTCTAGGTCCTTCCACCTTCCTGCACAGCAATGCTTTTTGCTCAGCGTCTTTTTCCCTATTCACCCAACCGTGTGCCCAGGGAAACTTAGAGCCGACCTTTCTGCCTCCCTGGTGCTCTGTGCATGCACAGTGGGTCTGCAGGCAGAGGTCAGCAGCTGCAGGTTGCCATCGGGTCCCACGTCCACGTGGAGGTCAGCCTGGATGGAGAGCCTCGCCAGCATGGGCACGGCGCTGCAGGGGGAGGCAGAGTTGGGGTTGCCCCATGGTGCTGAGCCGTGCTGTTGCCCCACTGCCCCACTCTGTGGGTGGATGTGACTCACTGCAGGGGTGAGATGCGCAGCTCCACTTCGATGCCCAGCCGCAGCCCGGCCTCAGGGATGAGCGACAGCCACAGGTCAACCACTTTTACAGAGGTAATTCTCTTCCTGCTCGAGGAAACGTGGGTGTAAGGAGCCCCGTGCTGCTCCTGCCCCAGGGTGTGTGGGATTGGTGCATTGCACCTGAGGGTGGCATCGGGGCCAATGCCATCGGATCCCAAAGGAGGAGCCAGGAGCTTGTTTCTGTATAGATGTTTTAAACGTTAGTGTCAATTCCTTTTGCCTTTTTTAATTTTTATTTGTTTTTATTTTTATTTTTACAAAACCTCCATGTGAAGCAGCAAAGCCCTGGGCGAGGCAGAGCCAGGCACTCACCTGCTGGGGTCTGTGGAGCCAAGGAACAGATCTGAGGCTCTCCGGGCCATCAGGTCCCGTCTGAGGGCCACCTCTGCGTGTGGCTTTGAGACTTCAGCAACTGTGAAACAGAGCAGACACCTTATGAGATGCTTCCCAAGCCTGTGATCCCATGCACAGGGGTGGATGGACTGAAATCTACCCGAGAAGTGCACTTCCCCCTCTTCCTAAACCCCACTGTTGTCAAATGATGGCTGAAAGCAATCCAATTCATGCACAGCAGTATCAATGTCCTGTCCCACTGACTGGCAGGAAGGTCCCCTCCCACCCCATTGCAAGCTGAGGGCTGCATACTTACGGTAGCTCAGTCCCAAGGGTGTGAGGATGCCCCCACAGTCGGGGGCCCTGGTGGGCTGCACAGGGTCCATGAGGGCCAGGATGGCACCCACGGTGCAGAGCAGGGGCACAGCACTGCCTGCAGGAGGAGGACATGAAAAGCACTTTGGAATTGCTGATATACCAAAAGTTGTGATGCTCTTAGGGTATAAAGAGAACAACTCAGTGAGTTCAGGCATCCCAGCACCATGCGTGTCTGTGTCAGCCTTAGCAGAAGAGGACCTCTGCTCAGCACCGATGCTCAGAGACCCCCCAGGTACGCGCTCACATCGCTCTCACTGTGTGAACGCATCTTTACCTTTTCTGTTTGCTTTTCCCATCCTCCCGAGTCCGTCTGTGTCTTGCTGTGGCTGAAACAAGGACTTGTGCTGGCTTTATATACTGCCTAACTGGGGCTGGGGGGGGGCAGGGATTGGCGGAGAGGGCTGGATGGGGTGTGCTGGGCGGCAGGGCTTTGTTTTCTGTGCCATTTTTATTGTCTCCCACAGACTTGATTACATTGGCCATCGACCCAGCAGGGTGACATATGGAGCAGCAGGTGCTCGGGCAGCTTGCCTCCATTGTGGGGCTACTGAGAGCACAGAGAAAGGTCCCAGCTCCCACATTGGAAGCAGAGCCACTGCCGGAGGTGCTGCTCAGCCTCATTGCAGCATCGGTAATCCTAGCAGCACCAGGGTTGTATTTATGATGTTACCATCATCTAGAAGGGCACAAGGGTGTGGGGCTGAACTGATGGGACAGTAGGGTGCTGCGGTGCTTACATGTGGGTGTTCTGCTCCTCAAGAGCTGCTCCGGACATGGCAGACCCCATGGAAGCTTATTAATGAGATGTCAGCTTCTAGCAGTGACTGAGCACGAAGGTGTCTCCCTGGTGTGATGGGCTCCTCGATGGAAGCCATCTATAAATCCTGTTAGATGAGATGTAAATCTCCCTGACTGCGCTTAGAGCCACTGAGTATATCACAGCAGGAGGTAACGACAGATTAAGCCCCATGACATGTTTTATATGGAGATGAAGAGAAGAAATAAATTCCGTGGTGCTGCAGGATCCCAGCAGGGCAGGCTCTGGGTGGCACAGGAACAGCCCCAGCCTGCCTGGGGTTCCCCTCACTGCCCCCAGGTCCTCCCCTGGCACTTGCAGGAGCTCTGCCAATGTGGGGAGCGGGTGGCTCATCCCAAGGGACAGACACATCCCTGCTGTGTCCCCAGAGGCACAATTCACCATCACCCTTCTCGGTCAAGGAGATCAGTTTTTCTCTTTCAGATGCCACATGTGAAGCTCTGTGGGCCCTTCCTGAGTGTTGAGCAATACTCAGGAGCTCCACCCTTCACCTGCAGCTCCTGTGCTTTGCCCTGACCTTAAGGTTACTGGTGAAATTATTTGTGTTGGAAGATGGCAGAATCACCGAGGGATTAGTTTTCCATCACAGCAATTACCCAGCTTCTTAATCTGTTGTTTTCTCCTCTTTCTCAGCCAGGGCTCTGTATATAAGGGCTGGCGGGAGCTGCCTCCAGCTGATTGCCTCTTTGTGTTCCTTCAGCCTCCAGAGCTGGATGCACGCTGTGCCATCCATGACCATGCTGTGGTACGTTTTGCTCCTTGGGGGCTACCTGTCAGCATCACAGTGTTCTGGGGACCCTGAGGCCATCCTTAGAATGGACATTGGAACCATCAGCCGTGGTAAGCTGGGGCAGGGATGCAGGGATGGGTGCTTGTTGCAGCAAGGATGTGTTACCAACTCTGTTCTATGGAGGTGATGAGTTCTCTCTGCTCCAGCACTGTCTCCCCCCCAAATTGGGCCATCAGTTCTGAGCCTCTTGTGTGAATATTCCAGCGGTCTCCACCGTGCTGAATGAGAGTGATGTTCTCCAGAAGCTGGTAGAGGGAGCGACAGAAAAAAAGGCAACCACGAAACCCATCAAAGGCATCTTCGTGTGAGTGATGCTGAGCAGCCTTTCACCGGGAGCCTGAATCTGGAAATCACAAAATAAAAGCAGAAGGTTTGGAAGTGTCAGCCCGGAGGCAGAAACAAATCACTGCCCGCTAACAAGCGTGATATTAAAGGTGGTGATTTTTCCGCATGGCTGTGTCTGCAAAGGGGAAACTATAACTTAAAGGCAACAAAGCTTGTTGGCTCCTATTTCCAGCTAGGGGGTTGGGAGGGTTGCTTGTCTAGCAGTACCCCTCTCCCTGTGCTTTTCTTCTCTTTTACCCCAGGCTGAAGGTGATGGAGCTCTGTGCCATGGAGGTAGCGCTGTGGCTCTCACCTGGTGTGGGGGTCTCTATGGCTGTGCCGGTCCGGATGACCCTCACGGGGAAAAGGTGGGGGAATGGCAACACATGGGGGCTGATGGCTGCCAGGGAAGTGGCTTTTCTGTGCTGATGATGCTCTGTCCTGTGCAGCTTTATAGGAGGAAAAATGGAGATCCCGATGGCTGCCAACCTGAGCACCAGCAGTCGGATGGTGCAGGACATGCAGGGCTGCCCCCAGCTCAGCACCAGGCGCTGCCACGTGGCACTGATCCACAGCTGGGCCAACCTGCCCCACCGGTGAGGGGGGTCAGTGCCCAGGAAAGGGATTCTGCAAAGCTCAAGCTCTTTTCACTATGAATATTCATTTACTGAAGGCCCTGTTTTTTTCCACTATGAAGCCCCAGATGTGTTATGGTAGAATCCAGGCTGGTCCCATCTGTGTCACTCCATGCAGCACCCATTTTTGGCCAAAGTCCTTGTAGAAGTGCTGTGCTGCTTTCAGGCCTCTTTTAGCTTGTTTAGATGGCATTCCTGAGAAAAGCTTTCTATGTAGGGAAATATCTTCCACTGCACGTCATGCCAGCTGGGTGTCCTTAGCACCTGACTTCCTGGCGTTTCAGTCTGCAGTCAGCACACACTGCCTCATGGCTCTGCTGGCTGATGGTGTGTTCTCTGCCCAGCATGCTGCCCTTGATCATGAGCAAGTTCCTGGATAGCACCCTCCAGAAAGTGCTGCATGGCCTGGTGAGTGCTGCCTGGTGCTGCACAGCATCTCCTTGGTGTGCTCTTACTCCTGTTCCTGCTCTGCTGCTGCTGCTCACTGCTCCGGTGGAAGTGAGTGGATCAGTTGGTGGATGTGTGAGGGGATACTGGATTTGGGCATAACTCAGTCAAGGTGAGCCTGTCTGGGTAATTAGGAGCAGAGGGTACCGGTGCCGTGAGGCAGGAGCTGTGCAAGCCTGACTGCCACAGAGCTGTGTTCCCCCCCCTCTGAGCTGCCAATGCCTCTCACAGCTCTCTTTTCACCCTCCAGCTGTGTCCAGCCATGGCCATGGTGCTCGACCTGGTGAATGCAAAGTTTGCCAACATGATGCGTAAGTTGGCACCTATCCACGTGTCCACCCACCTGTCCACCTCTCCATCCACACCCCCCCACCCATTAAGCCCTTGTGTCCATCCCAACCCCACACCTGGGTTGGACTCAGGTCACTCCCCAGTGGGGCCACCTGTGTGTCCCTGTTCAGTCCTGGGAACACATGGCACCACCTGGCATCGCCAGCACTTGGCAGGGAGGGAACAGCATGGAGCTGCTGTAGTGTTGCCAGCATGGTTCTGCTGAGCCCCCCCCGCCTTCCTGCAGATGCAATCCCTCTTGGGAATGCTGGGATGCTCCAATATGCCCTGCTGAACCCCCCCGTGGTGAGAGAAGCTTTCATCCAGCTGGAGCTGAAGGTCAGATGCACTCAGTCCACTGTACACAGCCCAAATACAGACCCTTGTAGTGGACCTTTGCTGACATGGCTCTGTCTGTGGGTCCTTTCAGGCCACTCTCCACAGCAAGGAGGGAGAGGAGGTTGCCCTGCGCTCAGAGCTGCCACCTCTCACTTCCCTCCCACCGAAGAGGGAAGCAGCCTCTCAGCTCATCCTGGCTGCGAGCTTCCTGAGTGCCGAGCTCTCCATCATGCAGGCATTCTTTGGCCTGAACATTACCAATGGCATGGTGGGGTAACACCATGAGGCTGCTGCCTCCTGCAACCTCTCCCCACATTGATCTCCCCAGCTGCATGTCTTACATCCCTCTGACACTTCCTCAACAGGTTCTGGGGCTTGTCCCGCTGGTGACCACGATGCTGGGAGCCCTCATTCCTGAGGTGGGTGGACTTCACGCAGTCCTGCTGCTCTCTGGCCATCTCAGGCTATTGATGGTGCAAGTCAGTTTGGTGCTTCTTGTGTTTTATTAACAAAAGTGGTGTGAATAACACTGCCTGGTCACCATGGACTTTGGTGAATAGTCCTGGTGCTCAGCAGTCACCAGTACAATCCCCAGGGAAGAGAGCTTGGAAGGAATGGGAATATGTCACCTTTTGCTTTGTTTTCCCCAGATCTCCAGCACGCTGCCTCCATCACGGCCAGTGGTGATTGAAATGCAAGAGACACAACCACCGCTGGTGACAATAACCCCAGAGAAAAGCACCGTGCACCTCTTCAGCACTGCCAAGTTCTGGGCTTCCAGTCCTGGCTCTGCTCCTGGATCCCTCTTTATCCTGGATGTGGTGAGCTGAAGCCTTTGGCGATGTTGGTGGGATTTGGTCACTACTGCAGAGGGGCAACAAGAGTTGTGAGTGAGGGGCTGGAGCTGCTTCTGGGGATCTGCTTACATGCACACGTATCCCATAGGGGACCCGCTCCCCTTTTCTCCCTGCAGCACTCTGAGCTGGGTGTGCGGTTTGCTGTCACAGAAGAGAGGCTGCAGTTCTCCCTGACGCTGCATAGGTAACAGCACAGGTCTGCCTGCCCAGTGCCACCACCAGCAAAGAGGCAGTGGGGCAGTGGTGCTGGGCAGCAGTATGTCTCGCACCTAGCTGGTGCACTTCCATCTCTCCTCATGGGTTTTTAGTGGTTGGTACTGGCAGCTGTGGGGGTCTTGGAGGAGTGTGAGCTGAGGTTGGAGGGGTGCTGCAGGGCCGGGCAGTGACCCTGTGCTCCTGTCCCCACAGCCTGTCCCACGTGGCTGTGGTGAACTCCTCCATCGGTGCGTTCAATGTGAGTCCTGCAGGGTGTGGGCACAGCTCTACTCTGTGGGTTTGAATGCTGCTGGGCTCGAGCAGGATTCCTTCCCCAGAATCCGACCCCGTTTCTTTCATTATTAATAACAAATGTATTGGAACTCTAAAGAAACTCAAATTGAATGCTGAAGATGAACGTTTCAAAGGAAGATGTAAACAATAAAAGAACTCTCAAAACCATTTGCCCACAAATGCTCAGACCCTTCTCCCTGCTCGCAGTGCACTCTGTGCATTCCTGGGAGGTCTGGGCCATAAAGCTGGGCTGCCCACACCCCACACCACGTATGCTGAGTGCTCGAGTGCCCAAATCCTGCTCCAACCCCACCGCAGCAGCAGAGCCACACAGGGGGTGATGGTGAGCAGGGTCTGTCTGTGTGCATGGGGCTGGGTGGTGATGAGGAGGCACTGGGTGCTCACAGTGCTGCAGGTGTGGGGAAGGAGAGACTTTCTGACAGCTTGCACTGAAATTTAGAAATTCTCAAATGTTCCCATTCATCTCGGGGTAGCGGGGGGGGGTGGGTGCAATTTTCCTGTGATTTGAGGCCGCACCAGGGAAATTAATGGAGGGGAGCCTGACAGGTGCGGCTGCCGACGTTTGGAAAGATGGGCCACGTCCATCAGCACGCTGTGTTCCAGGTGCTGCCGCTGAGAGGAGTCCTGGCAGACATTATTCATGTGGCTTATGTGCCATCCATCAACAGTAAGCATGCTATGGCTACAGCAAAAGGCTCGCGTTCTGCACAGGGAAAATGGTCCTAATCTTTGCCAATAGACTGTTGTTATCTGTTTTTGGAAACGGCATTGGCTGGCTGGCCTTGGCCTTGGGGGTAGAGAGTGATTAGCCTGGAAGAGCTGCTGGTGGGGCAGTTATCCCATGGCAAACTGTCATTAAAGCAGCCTGCCATAGAGTATCCATTCATCTGCTGATCTCCTATGGAAAGTTGTGCCAAGGGGATGGGATCTCATTTGTGCTGCTGTATCCAACCCAGCACGCCAGCACTGCCTGCTGTCCCCTGGGTCTGGTCCCCACATTCTGCCCCTCATACCCCCCCAACCACTTGCAGGAGCACTGCGAGGAGGGGTCCCACTACCCCCACTGCTGGGCACCCCGTACCGGCGTGTGGAGCTCAGGAGGGTGCAGGTAGGTGCAGCATGGGGATCCAGGCACCCTTGGTGGCTGAGCTCTCATCCTTCACACCCATTGCAGTGGAGTGATGAAGCTCTGCCTGTTGCTTTTTCTCTCTAACCTGCAGGATGGGCTGGTGCTGGACGTGCCTGTGGTGGAGTCCTGATGCACAGGGAGGGATGGCTGCACTCAGTGGATGGGAGAGGGCTGCTCTCCTGGGGTTTTCTTGCTCTCCCCTTAGCTTTTCAATGTTTTGACTCTCTGGGCTAAAATAAAGAAGCATGTTGCCTAGTGATGGACTCTGGTACTGCTGGGAGAAGGGGTGTGGATTGGATATTAGGGGAAATTTCTTCTCCAAAAGGGCGGAGATGCACTGGCACAAGTTGCCCAGGAAGGTGGAGGGGTCACCATCCCTGTAGGTACTCCAGAGCCGTGGAGATGTGACAGTTTGGGATGCTATCAGTGGGCACAGTGGGATGGGTTGTGGTGTACTATAGTATTTCAGGAGCAAATCCTGCCATCGGCTGCAGTGCAGGTATTGATTCTGAGCGTATCGCTTATTTATTGCTGGATAATTACGTGTCATTAGGAGGTCAATAAACAGCTTCGATCCCTATTTCATTGAATCATCGTGAGTTGAACATTCATTCCCGGTGGCAGGTGGCTGGTGTGGAACTAAGATTGTATTTGAGAAAAAAATCATTGCTTTTTTTAAGAAACTGTCCCAGAGGGCACCGCACTGCAAGGCTGGCTCTGAAAACCCCATTTGTTTTCCCCTGTGTGGTGCTGGGTGTCTGGTGGAAATGGTCTCAGTGCAGTGGGACAGCAGTCACAGCTCCCTATGAGGATGGCTGAGACGGTGCTGTTACAGTTCCTGCCCTCCTCAGTGCCATGTGAACATTCCCAAGGCCAAGCCTGTATGAAAAAAAGCAGAGAAAAAAATTTCCCTTATTGTTCTTGCATTAGCTAATAGAGGACCTAAGCCTTTGGGTTTGAATTTCTCTAAGATGAAATATAGATCTGATCTCTCCAAGGAGAAACCAGAGCTGTGCATCTCAGGTGGCACCCATTTGGCCTGCCATAATGCATGTCATACAGTGCCAGGCCATGGTATCATGTAACCGCAGCCTGGGGTGGCTGCTGGGTGCAGCGCAGAGCCATTGGGCCCCTTCCTGATCTGGGAACAACACAATTCCCTCTGTGCTGGGGCAAAAGGGAAAGGATATGAGGGCCTTCACCCCAGTGGAGGGGGGAGCCCATGTGCTGACACCAGCTCCATCAAATTGGGATACCCCAGATCTGTTGCAGTCCCAATAGCGCATTTCCCCACAGTCATGGAATTGCCCACCTTCAGATGGTGCCTGCTCTGCTCACATCAAGATCTCCAGGGCTGGTTGGTGCTGCTGCTGCCCACCCTCCCTGCTCATCTCCCCGCTGATCCAGGCGTCAAAGCGGTATTCATCCTTTTTCTTCTCTCTTTGTGTCTGACTTCCCGTGCTGATTTGGCTCCGGGTTCGGCAGGCTTTGAGAATCGCTTTGGTGAGAGCTGGACCTCGAGATGTCATTCTCTTTATGGGAACCTGCGTTGGTTTATCTAAAATGTTTGGTCATCAGAGACCTCTGCGTTCAGCAGTGCGAAGCCCCGTTGCAGTCAGGTCTGAAAGGTCACTGCACAGGAGCTATTCCCAACGCCCAGCACCGCGTGTTGACCATCACTGGGCCTTTCTTTACGGTCAGTCAGCCTTCCTAGCATGATTGATTGCCAAAGAGTGAAGCGGTTCAGGAGGGATGACAACGTGATACCATCTTGTTAACACTCTCTTCCATCTTATCAAATGCCACGATCTGGCAGTGACAGCCTGGCTTTGTGCTCTGGGGGTGTCTGACCGATCGGGTTGCAGCACAGTGACAGCTCCATAAGTACTTTGGCATCTTTGTCATCCCCTCCTTGGCCCCTAGCTAAGGTATTTCTTAAAGCTGGAATTAACGTGTGACAGAAGCTGGCTAATCTCCTGGAAATACTTATTTCCAAGTTTGCAGAAAGTATTAACTCTGAGCAAGCATTTTTTCTGAGCTATTACTCCTCCATGTTGGGGATCAGCCCATCTAACCCTGTCCTTAATCATCTCAGCAGCGGAGTGAATAGTTCACGGCTGTCACCTGGGCTGGGCAGTGTGTCCTCTGCCAGGGATGCAAGGTGCAGGCCTGCAGTGGGGCTGTGTGGGTCTGCAGCCCCCAGAGAGGGACTGTTCTGTACTGCCCAGAGCTGCTGCTGTGCTGCACCTCGAGGAGCAGCTCCACAATGCTGGGGCCAGGAGTGAGGGGACAAGGAGAGAGTCAGGGTGACTGTGGGTACACATGGCATGTGTTTTCCTGCCATCTCACCTCCAGTCCTGCAGCACGTGGAGGTAGTGAAGGGCTCAGAAGTGATGTCTGAGTCTGCAATCAGATGGAATCTGTAAGTTCAGGGTATCCACAAACCACGACACCTCACCCATATGCCCTACGACGGTGTTGCTACTCCCTGCTAATTCAATGTCTCCTTCTACTCAACTATCAAACAGGTTCTAAGCCATTCAGGTCACTGGTGGTAAATGCTGTGTGAAGTCACAGGCTGTAGGCATATCAGGTCTTGCCTTGCAGGCATGGGGAATACCCAGCTCTGACACCAGCCCCATGGACTGCCGTGGCACGGGGATGGGTGCTGTACGGCTTTTTCTTCAACATCCTTAGCACATGACATGCACCCACTGCATGGTTACCCGATGTTTTGACACAGCTTTCAGTCAAGGCCTTAATTTCAGATGGAAAAAAAGAGTGTTTTACCTGAGCATGACTTTACAGCCATGTCCATGTCTTGATACAGCCCCAAACCACACTGTTCTATCCCAGCAGCACTGTATGCACATCCCATGAGCACTGGCACCCAGCGCTGGACTGACGTCTGCTGCTACACCTATTGGTCATTGCTCAATGCTTTACCCAACTCCTAATATCTGTAAGGAAATATTTGCAGTGGAAGTCACCAGAAACCATGTCTTGTTTGCTTTGCTCCCCGCTAATTATTCTGGATGCCCTCGGTGACATCGTTTGCCTCATTCCTGTTGAAAAGTTCTGTATATAAGGATGCCTGCTGTGGGTCGTCTGCAGAAGACAGGGACAGCGGCTGGAGACATCCTTGCTCTGCAGAGATCAGTCAGGTAAGAGCAAATTATTTCTCAAACAGCATGCTCTTAGCTTCTGCTTCTGCAAACCCCAGTTCTTTCCAAAGGAGAGGCCTTGATTTTAGCTTATGACTGTGAACTTTTTAACAAAAACTTATTCTTGCTTGCTACAAGAGATGGAGAGGTACCAGGAGCTTTCTCTCTGCTTTTGTCTTCCCTGAGAGGCATTCCTCCTTTTCTATCCTCCTTCCTGTTTCCTGCAGCCATCAGCTAGTGCTCACTGTCCAGCACTACATGATGGCAACTTCTTCCTCTACTTAACTAGGACTGAAAATGGGTGTTCTCTGGGTGGTTTTCCTCACTTGTGGCCTGCTCACCTCTTCCCAAGGACTTCCTGGGAGCGCCCCAGTGTCTGCCAGGGTGGATAAAGATGTGCTAGAAAGTGGTAAGTGTTTGGAAGAGACAGGATTTATCTTCATTTTGAGACCATTTCTGCTGTTCCTGTCACTTGACAGTATTAAGAAAATCAGAATCTGGTTCAGATCTGTTCAAGCTATGCTGACAATGCATTTATGAAACACTTTGAACATGGCACTTAAGATGCTTTGCAGAGCCTGGAGCATCACCCCTGTTGTATAAAGGGGAGAAAAAGGGGCAAGGATGAGGGGAAGGTCAGCCAGGCTGACACCGCATATTTGCATGCTGGATGTGCATGGCTCACAGTGACCTCTCACCCATTTCTTCAGCCATTACAGGGTCACTAGCCAACGGCAACCTTCTCCAGGGGCTGCTGGGTGGTCTGCTCGGCCCCGATGGACTTCTTGGTGGTCTGCTAGGCCCCAATGGACTCGTTGGTGGTCTGCTCGGTGGCAATGGACTTGTTGGTGGTCTGCTCGGTGGTGATGGACCTGTTGGTGGTCTCCTTGGTGGTGATGGTCTTGTGGGTGGTCTCCTTGGAGGTGGTGGACCTGTTGGTGGTGTCCTGGGCAATGATGGTCTTGCTGGTGGTCTTGTGGGTGGTGATGGACCTGTTGGTGGTCTCCTTGGTGGTGGTGATGGACCTGTTGGTGGTCTCCTTGGTGGTGGTGGACCTGTTGGTGGTCTCCTTGGAGGAGATGGACCTGTTGGTGGTCTCCTTGGAGGAGATGGACCTGTTGGTGGTCTCCTTGGTGGTGGTGGACCTGTTGGCAGTCTCCTTGGTGGTGATGGTCTCGTGGGCGGTCTCCTTGGCGGTGGTCTCCTTGGAGGAACTGGCAACCAGGGTCAAGGCTCACTTCTTGGAGGAGGTCTCCTCGGCAAGGATGGTCTGCTGAGCACCGTGCAAGGACTCACAGGGTGAGTGAGAGTGGTAGATGTGTTCCCGAGCAGCGCTCCATCATTGGCCATGCCTGTGGTCTGGACATGGCGCTTACCTTCTCCTCTTAGGGCGAGTTCATAAATCAGGGTTGAGAAGTTGGGAGCTTCTGCCACGAGGCTGCATGTGCTTATCATGAGCTGGCCCTGGCTAAAAGGGAGCCCCATGTCCCAGGGTGCAGGGGACCCCAAGATCACAGCTGTGTGACCTCAGCACTGGGGGCCGAGAGGATCCCAGGGAAGTAAGAAGTAGCAAATATGTCATTTACTGCCCTTCCTTGTTCCAACTCCAGGCTGAGAATTGTGAACATCACTCTCCCCAAAATAACTCTGCGCTTCCTGCCAGGCGTTGGTCTCCAGCTGAATATCTACACCCAGCTGCTGATAGATGGCAATGGGTAAGGAGCATTCACTGGGGGCACAGCTCAGAGCAGAGGCTGCACCATCTTGTTGCAAAGCAGATGGCTAGAAAACCCTCTGAGATGTGCTCCCTTGGGCTGTGCAGCGCCGTGGGCAGTCTGCTGCAGCTCCAGGTGGAAGCAAACATCACTGCAAGAGTGCGGCTGGCCCAGGACAAGTCGGGGGCTCTCAGGCTGGTGGTTGAAGACTGCAAGACCCTTCTTGGAGACATCAATATCCGTGTGGGGTA